AGGTTCAGGCCAAAGGAATAAAGCAAGAAAAAACATACGCAGATTTTCAAGAAGTAAAATTACGCTTTCAGGTGACATAATTCTACACATAGAAAGTCCTAAAGAATCCAGAAGAAAGCATTTAGAATTAACGTCATTTTACCAGTGTTGCCAGGTATAAGGCCTATATAAGAGTCAGTGATATTTCTGTACACCAGTAAGGAACATTTGAGCATTAGTCCCTTTTCAGATCCTATAACAAAATACCCGAGACTGGGTACTTTATAAAGAAAACTTCCCTAATCTTGACAAAGATATGAACTTCCAAGTATAGGAAGCATGCAGAACCCCAAATAGACACGATCAAAGATCTTCACCATGACATATTATTCTTAAACTTTCAAAAGTAAAGCACAAAGAAAAGATCCTAAAATGTGCAAGAGAGAAATGCCAGATTACCTTTGACGGAGCTCCAAATAGACTGACAGCAGATTTCTCATCAGAAACCCTACAGGCTAGCAGAGAATGGAGAGAAACAGTCCAGCCCTTAAAGAAAAAAAACTGTCAACCCAGAATACTATATCCACTGAAGCTCTCATTTTTAATTGAAGATAAAATAGAGACCTTTCGGGGCTAGCGCCATGGTGCAGTAGGTTAATGCTCCACCATTCCATATGGGCGCTGGTTCTAGTCCCAGCTGCTCCACTTCCAATCCAGTTCTCTGTTGTGGCCTGGGAAAGCAGTGAAAGATGGCCCAAGTCCTTGGGCCCCTGCACCCACATGGGAGACCGGGAAGAAGCTCCTGGCTTCAGATTGGCGCAGCTCCAGCCATTGAAGCCATTTGGGGAGTGAACCAATGGAAAGAAGACCTTTCTCTCTGTCTCTCCCTCTCACTGTCTGTAACTCTACCTCTCAAATAAAATAAAATAAATAAAATCTTTTAAAAAAAATAAAGACCTTTCAAAACAAACAAAAATTGGAAGAATCTGTCACCATCTGGCCAGCCTTATAAACGGTAACCAAGGATGTGCTACACCAGGAAATGGAGAGAGAAAATAAACATCATGAAAGAACATGGAAGGCCGGCGCCGCGGCTCACTAGGCTAATCCTCTGCCTTGCGGCGCCGGCACACCGGGTTCTAGTCCCAGTCGGGGCGACGGATTCTGTCCCGGTTGCCCCTCTTCCAGGCCAGCTCTCTGCTGTGGCCAGGGAGTGCAGTGGAGGATGGCCCAAGTGCTTGAGCCCTGCACCCCATGGGAGACCAGGAGAAGCACCTGGCTCCTGCCTTCGGATCAGCGTGGTGTGCCGGCCGTGGCGGCCATTGGAGGGTGAACCAATGGAAAAAGGAAGACCTTTCTCTCTGTCTCTCTCTCTCTCACTGTCCACTCTGCCTGTAAAAAAAAAAAAAATAGAATGTGGAGGCAGAAAAGCTCCCAGTAAATACAGAGGAGAGCCGAAACAAACAGCAGGAATACCTGTGGGGAAATGGCAGGACCACGTCACTACTTATCAATAATAACCTTGAATGTAAGTAGACTAAATTCTCCATTTAAAAGATACAGACTGGCTGAGTGGATTTAAAAACAAGACCCTTCCATATGCTGCCTATAAGAAATACATTTCAGCAATAAAGATATACACAGACTGAAAGTAAAAGGATGGAAAAAGATATTCCACACTAATGGAAAACAAAAAAAGTTCAGGAGGAGCCATCCTGATATCAGACAAAAGAGACTTCCATGCAGAAACTGTTAACAGAGACAGAGAAGGGCCCTATGTAATGACTAGGGGATCAATGCAACAGGAAGACGTGACTATAGTAAATGTACATGTAGCCAGTACCAGGGTGCCTGGCTATTTAAAAGCAATGTCAACAGATGTGAAGGGAGACACAGACTCCAATACAATAATAATGGGGACCTCAACATCCCCACTTTCATCAATGGACAGATCAACTGGGCAAAAAATAAACAAAGAAACAACAGAGCTAATGTACAATATGGACCAAATAGACCTAATTGATATCTACAATCCCAAACAAAATCCCCCCAGATGACATGATTCTCTATATAGGGAATCCAAAAAACTCCACTAAGAGACTATTGGAACTCATAGAAGAGTTTGGTAAAGTATTAGGATATAAAATCAACACAAAAAAATCAATAGCCTTTGTATACACAGACAATGCCATGGCTGAGAAAGAATTTCTAAGATAAATCGCATTCACAATAGCTACAAAAATAATCAAATACCTTGGAAAAAATTTAACCAATGATGTCAAAGATCTCTATGATGAGAATTACAAACATTAAAGAAAAAAATAGAAGACACAAAAAATGGAAAAATCTTCCACATTCTTGGATTAGAAGAATCAATATCATTGAAATGTCCATACTACCCAAAGCAATTCAGATTCAGTGTGATATCAATCAAAATAACAAGGACATTCTTCTCATATATAGAAAAAATGATGCTGAAATTCATATGGAAACAAAGGAGACCCTGATGGCTAAAATAATCTTATACAACAAAAACCAAGCCAGAGGCATCACAATATGAGATTTCAAGACATACTGCAGAGCAGTTATAATCAAAACAGCCTGGTATTGGCACAAAAACAGATGGATTGACCAATGAGACCAATAGAACAGAACAGAAATGCCAGAAATCAATCCATGCATCTACAACCAACTTATCTTTGACAGAGGAGCTAAAACCAATCCCTGGAGCAAGAACAGTCTGTTCAACAAACGGTGCTGGGAAAACTGGATCTCCATGTTCAAAGGCATGAAGCAAGACCCCTATTTTACACCTTACACAAACATCTGCTCAAAATGGATTAAAGACCTAACTCTATGACCCAATACCATCAAATTGTTAGAGAATGCAAGACATTGGCAAATGCAAAGTGTTCCTGGAAAGGACCCTAGAGGTACAGGCAATCCAAGTCAAAATTGACAAATGGGATTACATCAAATTGAGAGATTCTGCACTGTGAAAGAAATGTTCAGCAAAGTGAAGAGGTAATTGACAGAATGGGAGAAATTATCGGCAAACTATGCAACTGATAAAGGATTAATAATCAGAATACATAAAGAGATCAAGAAACTTTACAACAACAAAACAAACAACCCAGTTAAGAAATAGGCAAAGAACTTCAATGGACTGTTATTTAAAGAGGAAATCCAAATGGCCAACAGACACATGAAAAATGTTTAAGATCACAAGCCATCAGGGAAATGCAAATCAAAACCACAATAAGGTTTCACCTCACCTCTGTTAGAATGGCTTTCATACAGAAATCAACAAACAACAAATGCTGGTGAGGATGTGGGAAAAAAGGTATCTTAATCCACTGTTGTTGGGAATGTAAACTGGTGCAGCCACTGTGGAAGTCACATGGAGGTCCCTCAGAAGTCAGAATACAGACCTACCATACGACCCAGCCATCCCATTCCTGGGAATTTACTGAAGGGAAATGAAACCAGCACATGAAAGAGTTATCTGCACCCCCATGTTTATTGCAGCTCAATTCACAATAGCTAAGACATGGAATCCACCCAAATGCCTGTCAACTGAAGACTGGGTAAAGAAATTATGGGATATGTACACCATGGAATACTGAATAGCAGTTAAAAAAAATCTGGTCATTTGCAACAAAATGAATGAAACTGGAAAACATCATACTTAGTGAAATAAGCCAGTCCCAAAAGGACAAATACCATATGCTCTCCCTGATCTGTGGTAACTAATAGAGCACCCAAAAGGTAATCTATAGAAATGAAACAGATACTTTGAGATGTGATGACTTTGAACAGCCCTTGTCTAAACTATTGAGGAACAGGTTTTTTCTTACTATTTGTTGAACACTTTACTTAGTATAGAGTTAACTGTTTGTGTATAAAGCTAATTGAAAACAGATCTTGGCTGGCGCTGCAGCTCACTAGGCTAATCCTCTGCCTGCGGCGCCAGCACTCCAGGTTCTAGTCCTGGTTGGGGTACCGGATTCTGTCCCGGTTGCTCCTCTTCCAGTCCAGCTCTCTGCCGTGGCCCAGGAGGGCAGTGGAGGATGGCCCAAGTCCTTGGGCCCTGCACCTGCGTGGGAGACCAGGAGGAAGCACCTGGCTCCTGGCTTCGGATCAGCGCAGCCCGACAGCCATAGCGGCCACTTGGGGGGTGAACCAACGGAAAAAGGAAGACCTTTCTCTGTCTCTTTCTCTCACTGTCTAACTCTGCCTGTCAAGGAAGGAAGGAAGGAAGGAAGGAAGGAAACAGATCTTATTAAAAACAATAAATGGGAATAAGAGAGGGAGGAGGAAGTGGGGTGGGAGTGTGGGTGGGAGATCAGGTAGGGTGGGAAGAATCACTATATTCCTAAAGCTGTATTTATGAAAGTCATGAAATTTGTGTTCCTTAAATAAATGGTTTCTGGGGAGAAGAAAGTAAATTCTAATCCGCAGGTGGTGGTCTTAAGGGAGAGCTGGTTGGGTCATCAGCACGCTGGGCCTGGCAGCTTTGTCAAAGGGGCCGGCGGAGCTGGCCTGATGCTGCACTCGGGGAAAACGCAGCAAGGCACCACCTAGGGAGGAGGGGATGGCCGTCGCCAGATAAAAACCCTTCGGCACTTTGCCCTTGGACTCCCCAGCCTCCCAGAGATGAATTCGTGTGGGTAGAAGCCGCCGGACATGGCCCCCACACTGCGTCCCTGTCCCCGGGACGGAGCCCCGCACACCGGGCTGTTCCCAGCACTCTCTCCCGTGGGATGCGCCTCATTCTCCGCACCCCCTCTTCTCCAATCCCGGCTGCACACTGCTTTCAGGGTTCAGCCGCAGGCTTGCTCGCTCGGCGCCTGACTCCTCCCTCTGTGGCCCTGCGCAGGACCATGGACAAGGCCTGCCCCGGGACGAGTGTCCCGCCCTGCACCTTTCTCGTGATCCCTCCTAGTGCTCCGCACAGAGAGGCAACCAGGCCCCGCGGGACTGCAGCTTTGCACAGCCCCTGCGTCAGGGGGCCTTCAGACCTGCTGTGTGGCGGCCGCCGGATCATCTTCTCCGAGAGAGGTGGCGTCGTCCTCTTCCGCAAGTGGGGCCAGCCAGGCCCGACCGTGTCCAATACTCAAGAGCCTTGGTCCGGAGGCCGGGGCACCAACGGCCTCCCGGGGCTCGGGGCCCCCTCTCTTCCCTGAGGCCAGGGCGATAAGGTCTCTGCCTGCCGGCCCCTCCGTTTGCTTCCGTGAGCTTCGCTTCCCGCACCGCTTGCGGCAGAAACGCCCGGCCAGGAGAACCAGGCGCGCGAAGGCCTTGCGGACCCGGTCCAGGGCCAGCTGGACTTTGGTTTTCCTGGTCTCTTCTTCCGCGCTTCCGCCCCTCTCCTCACTGCTGAAGGAGTTGAGCAGCAAGGCAATGAAGAGGTTGAGCACCTGGGGAGGCGTGGACAGGGAGAGGGAGACGTTCAGCAAAGGAGAGAGCAGGTTTTGAAAACAAACTCTCCCCAAGACTTAGATCGGAGTCACAGGAGAGTTCTGTCCTGCTGTCCCTTGAGGAAATAAAATAAAGATTAAAGGACTGAGGAAGGAGTGGAGGCCATTATGGAAGGTGAAACCAAACTTGAAACAGCACACAGCCAAATGCGGTGTATGTCAACGTAAGCGACAGGACTGTGTAGACCCGGCCAGGCTAGTGCGGGATGGTGCACCCTCGGACAGCATCAGCGGTGTGTATTCCTTGGGGAACAGCTAAGTCAGGACCGTGAAGATTCCCTGGAATTGCCCCAGGGGTGTGAACCTGACCACACCTCCTGGATCCCCTCCTGTTTGCCCACGAGAGCTGGTGTACTTAGTGCAGCGACTTTTAGGTCCCACTGCTCCCACCCCAGTGAGGTCTGGGGCCTCGGCCAGAGGAGTGCAGACCGATTTGGCAGCCCCCTCGCTGCGGCACACCTGACTTTCCATCCAGATCATTCCTCAGCTTCCGCTTGGGCTCTGCCTGACACTTCACCCTCCAGTCCACCCTCTTCCTCTCTGCACGTTCCTGTTCGTGCTTCTCGCCAGCCTTTGGGGAGAAGCGCCTTGCAGGGTGAGTGGAGCCAGTCACAGCTCGCCAGCTTCCCCACGTCTCTGCCCAGTCTCTCCTCCTTTCGGCTGGCCCTCTCGCCTCCCAGGTGGTCTTCTCGGTGCCACATCTCCCCCAGTCCTCTCTCAGTCGTTCCCCAGTCACTGTGATGTTCTGCTCTTAGGAACTATTGAATCAGCACTGTCTGTGTCCACCTTTATTAGGTCCTCAGGCGCAAATGGCCACGTGTTGAGAGCTAATTACCTTTGCAGCACAGGCCCATCCTTGACCAAGGAGATTCTGTGTTGTCTTCTGTCTCTTCACATCCCCAGGGATGTGCCCCTGATTAGCCTCCCCATAACTATCTAGGATCCAGCTGCTCTAGGCTCAAGCTAGCTTACACAGGAAGCGAATGGAGCAAAACAGGAAGTCTGAAAACCAAACAGGGACCGACTATGACACGAAGGTGGGTTCTGTTCCACCTTTCCCCTTGTTTTCCTCAGGACTGGCTTCAGCTCACAATTGCGTAATATTTGCAGCTCATTCAGGGGTCACAGTTCTAAAAATGCCCAGGGGAAGTAAAAAGACCATTTTCCCTCCTGCATGTATGGTTAAGAACAAGCACTCTTCCCATGTCCTCCTAGTGTACATCCCTTTATGTCACATTGGCCAAATTCAGTCACAAGTGCCGACCTCAGCCGATCACTGGTGCAGAGAATCCGGCTGTCCTGGAAGAGCCATCTGGGACAGACTAGCTGTTGGGGCGTCAGTCAACATGAGCACAATGTGTCAAGAGACGTGGCTTCATGCTTATCGTACTTCCCTCCCACTAAAGCAATGGTGATTTCCGAAGGTTCACTGGGGATTATCCCTAGAATCACACCTTTCACTAATGCACTTGAGAGGCATGCATTTTCTTTTCTTTGAAGGAAAGAATGTAAGGACTCACCACAAGTTTCCCTATCACCATGATCAGCACAAAGATGATCACACACAGCGGCGCCTCGGTGTCCATCTCCTGCATGCACTCCCACATGTTTTCGATCCACTCCCCACACAGGATGCGGAACACCACCAGGAAGGAGTGGTAGAAGTCCCCCATGTGCCAGCGTCGTGCACAGGACTCGCCAGGGTTACACAGCTTCCTACTCTTTACAGAACAGAACTTAGAGCCAAAAAGCTGCATGCCAACCACAGAGAAAATGAAGACCACAATGGCCAGGACCACCGTCAGGTTTCCGAAGGCTCCTACAGAGTGTCCAATTATCTTAATCAGCGTGTTTAGAGTCGGCCAGGACTTGGCTAACTTGAAGACCCGGAGCTGTAAACAGACGACAAATAAAAACAAAAGTAGTCAGTTAAAGGTGCCCTCCCTCCGGTACTCATGGTTTTCAAACTCTTCTCGTAGTTACCAACTTTCTGTCCCAATCTAGTACTTATCTGCCTATACTTGTATATTTGATTTGATTTTTTTAAAAAAAGATGTACTTATTTATTTGGAAGGTATGATTACAGAGAGAGAGAGAGAGAGGAGAGACAGAGCCAGAGAGAGAGAAAAAAAAATCTTCCATCTGCTGGTTCACTCTCTGAAATGGTTCAGCAGTGACAAAGGCCGGGCCAGGCTAAAGCCAGGAGCCCGGAACTCCACCTGGGTCTCCCACATGGGTGCAGGGGCCCAAGCACTCAGGCCGTCCTCCACTGCTTTCTCAGGTGCATCAGCAGGGAGCTGGATCAGAAGTGGAGCAGCGGGAACACCTCTCTCTCCCTGCCCCTCAAATACACTGGATAAGTAAAAACTTATAAAAAGCATAGAATGTACACTTGGGTACTTAGGTACTAAATCAAATGTGGTACTCTGTAGCCTTAGAAATCCTATCCTTGAAAAAAAAAAAAAAGCAGTAAACATCTTTGAAAGATGACAAACGCCACTGCGCTGGTGTGGATGTCCTCACTGAACTGCCGCAGAGCAGTGTTGAGAGGTGGGGCCTGGGAGGGGATTAGGCCGGGGTCTCTGCTCTCAGAGCAGTGTTGAGAGGTGGGGCCTGGGAGGGGATTAGGCCGGGGTCTCTGCTCTCAGAGCAGCGTTGAGAGGTGGGGCCTGGGAGGGGATTAGGCCGGGTCTCTGCTCTCAGAGCAGCGTTGAGAGGTGGGGCCTGGGAGGGGATTAGGCCGGGGGTCTCTGCTCTCAGAGCAGTGTTGAGAGGTGGGGCCTGGGAGGGGATTAGGCCGGGGTCTCTGCTCTCAGAGCAGTGTTGAGAGGTGGGGTCTGGGAGGGGATTAGGCCGGGGGTGGGGGTGTATGCTCTCAGGGACAAGGTTAAGCGGTTGCTGCAGCAGTGGGCTCCTGATGAAAGGTAAGTTCAGCCACCCCTCTGTCTCGAGCAGTGCACGGGCTGTCCCCAGACCCTGGTGCCAGGTCCTTGGATGTCCCAGCCTCCAGAGCCACCAAACAAATCTATTTCTTTATAAATTACCCAGTCTGTCACAATGTATTACAGCAGAGAAAAAATGGACCAAGAAAGCTGGTACAGAGACGTGGAGCTGTTGCTATAAAAACACCTGGAATGCACAAGTGGCTTTGGAACTGAGTAACGGTAGACGCTGGCAGGACGTGGAGAGATACGCAAGGGAAGGACTAGGTCGCCGTAAATGCAGCACTGGAAGCAACTGGTGAGGAAAGCTTTAGGGAAAGTCTACATCGTATGAGTTATGTCCGTGTTACGACAAGAATGCCGGTAGAAATATGGACATTTACATGTGGTCTCAGACATGAGGAACAAGGAGTTAGCAACAGGAGTAAAGGCTGTCCTTGTTACGCAGTCACGAAGAACTGGTTGAGGCTGTGTCCATGTCCTGGGGCTTTGTGGACTGCAGGACTTCAGAAACACGAGGTAGGATGTCTGGGGGAAGGAACATCTAAGGGGAAAAGCGTTTCAGCTGCTGTGTGAGTACTTTAAACTCTATACAGTGAGATGCGAAAAGAAATAAACGATTTAAAGACAGAACTTAATTAATTTATTTTTATCTTATTTATTTGAAAGACAGAGTTACAGAGAGAGGTAGAGACAGGAAGAGAGGTCTCCTGTCTGCTGGTTCACTCCCCAGATGGCCGTAATGGCTGGAGCTGCACCAATCTGAAGCCAGGAGCCAGGAGCTTCCTCCAGGTCTCCCACGGCAGTGCAGGTGCCCAAGGACCTGGGCCATCCTCCACTGCCTTCCCAGGCCATAGCAGAGAGCTGGATTGGAAGAGGAGCAGCCGGGACTAGAACTAGCGTCCATATGGGATACTGGTGCTTCAGACCAGGGCTTTAACCTGCTGCACCACAGCGCTGGCCCCAGAACTTACATTTAAAAGGGAAGCAGAGTAGAAGGATTTGGAAAACTCACAGCCTAGCCATACAAAGAGTGAAAAAACATGTTAGGGAGAGAATATTAAGGGCCAAGGACCTTTTGCTAAAGGGATTCCTAGGACCAGAAGGAAGCCAGGTATCACTCATCAAGACAGCAGGAGAAAGACCTCAGAGGCATTGCAGGGACCTGCCAATCACAGGCTCAGCAGTTAGGGGCTTGAGGGAGAAAGGTCCCTGCTCCCCAGATTCCAGTGCAGCCCTGGCCACCGCACCTGCCTGCAGGTATGGCTTGCGCTAGCACTCTGGGAGCTACAAACCGTAACCTGGTGGCACACAGAATGCAAGTGCAGGAAGATGACTTTCTCGACATGGATTTCAAAGGATGACTTGGACAGCAGATTTGTCACAGAAGTGGAGCCGCCAAGGACAGCCCCTACAAGGGCAATGCTGAGGGGAGCCACAAGGGTAGGCCCCCCTCGAGACCCTGACACTATAAAGCTATGAACATGTAATGCCGATCTGGGAGAGCAGGCCACACACAAAGTGAAAAGGCATTTGAGAGAGAATATTAAGGTCAAGTGATCTTTAGTTAAAAAGACTCATATGGACAGAAGGAAGCCACGTGCTATTCATCAAGACAATAGGAAAAACATTCAAAGGCGCTGTGTGTGTAAGCCCAGCAAAAAACAGGAGAGTGAGGCCCCTAGGGCCTTAATCCCTTCGCCCCTACCCTAGAGTGTCCAAGGTGTGAGAAACGAGGAGACTATTCCAAGCTTCAGGATGTGTTGTTTACCCTATTTGGTCTTAAACCTAACTGGGCCCAAGTCACCCTCTTTGTGCCTACCTCTCCCTTTTGAAGTGCCTGTGCTGTCCCCTGCCTGCCTGTCCCACGACCGTGTTTTGGAAGTAGACTGCTGGTTTGATTGTGCAGGCTCACAGCTGGAAGGAATTTGCCTCAGGATGAATCATGCCTTGATTCCACTAATATCTGACTTAGAAGAGACTCTGGACTTTGGATTTTTTTAGAGTTGATGTTAGAATGAGTGAAGTTTTGGAACTACCAAACGTCTGAAACAGAACTAACACCTATTCTTTTTTTTTTTTTTTTTTTTGACAGGTAGAGTTACAGAGGGGGAGAGAGAGAAAAAGGTCTTCCTTCTGTTGGCAAAAATAACACCTATTCTTCTCAAATTATCCCGCAAGTTGAAGAAGAGAGAATTATTCCAGATTAATCCTATGAGTCCATCATTATCCTGACACAAGCCAGACAAGGAACAACAAAGAAAGCAAGCTACAAGTGTATATCCATGGTGAACATAGATCCAAAAATTTTCAACAAAATGTCAGCAAACCAAGTCCAATAGCACATCAAAAAGATTATTCACCATAATCAGGTGGGATTCATCCCAGGGAGGCAAGGAAAGTCCAACATACGCGAACTAATAAATGTGATCCATTACTCAACAGAGCGAAGGTCAAGAACCATGTGCTCATCTCAACACATGCAGAAAAGCATTTTATAAAATCCAGTATTCCTCCATGATAAAAACTCTGAAAAAATCATGCAGTGAAGAAACACCTCAGCACAATAAATGTTTATCTAACAAGCCAACAGCTAGCACCATGCTGAATGGGGGAAAGCCAAAATTTTCTAAAATCCAAGGGCAACCGCTTTTACCCCTTCCATGCAGCATAGCTCTAGACATCCTTCCAGAGCAGTCAGGCAAAAGAAACAAGCGCAAACAACTGGGAAGAAGGAAGCCAAATTGTCACTGTTTGCAGAAAACTCCAAAGTTCTACCTATAGCCTGTTAGCACTAATAAAATAATTTAGCAAAGTTGCAGAACTCAAAATCAACAAAAAATCAGTAGCACTTCTATATATCAATACCAAATTATTTGAAAAGGAAATCAAGCAAACAATACCAAACATACTAGCTATAAAAATAACTGGGGATAAATTTAATAGAATTAAATTCTACAATGAAAACTATAAAAGATCAATGAAAGAAATTGAAGAGGACTCACAAAAAATAGAAAAACATTCCATGTTCTTGGGTTGGAAGAATCAATATTATTAAAATTTCCATACTGCCCAGAGCAATATACAGAGTTAAATGTGGTTCCTATCAATATATCAATGTTATTCTTCAGAAAACCAGAAAAAAAATCCTAAAATTTATATGGAACCACAAAATCCCCAAATAACCAAAGAAAATTTGAAGAAAAAGAACAAAGCAGGAGTCATTATGCTACCTGAATATAAAATATACTATAAAGTGGGGCCGTGGCTCACTTGGTTAATCCTCTTCCAGTGGCACCAGCATCCCATATGGGCACCAGGTTCTAGTCCTGGTTGCTCCTCTTCCAGTCCAACTCTCTACTGTGGCCCAGGAAGGCAGTGGAGGATGGCCCCTGCACCCACATGGGAGACCAGGAAGAAGCACCTGGCTCCTGACTTCGGATCGGTGCAGCGCTAGCCATGGCGGCCATTTGGGGAGTGAACCAATGGAAGGAAGACCTTTCTCTCTGTCTTTCTCTCTCACTGTCTATAACTCTACCTGTCAAATAAAAAATAAATATATGCTATAAAGCTGTAGTAATTAAAATAGCATGGTGTGTAGCTCAATTCACACTAGCTAAGATATGGAATCAAACCAAATTTCCATCAACTGAAGACTGGATAAAGAAATTATGGGATATGTACACCATGAAATATGACACAGTGGTAAAAAAAAAAATGAAATCCTGTAGTTTGGAAAAAAAAATGGATGAAACTGAAAACATACTTAGTGAAATAAGCCAGCCCCAAAGAGGACAAATACCATATGTTCTCCCTGATCTGTGGTAACTTATAGAGCACCTCAAAGGTAATCTATAGAGGTGAAATTGACGTTTTGAAATGTGATGACTTAGAACAGCCCTTGTCTCGACTGCTGAGGAATAGTTTTTTTTTTTTCATACTATTTGTTGAGCTCTTTACTTAGTACAGAGTTAATCTTATGTGTACTAAGTTAATGAAAATAGATCTTAGTAAAAAATAAAAATGGGAATAGGAGAGAGGGGGAAGAAGGGTGGGAGTGCAGGCGGGAGGGCAGGTAGGGTGGGAAGAATCACTATGTCCCTAAAGCTGTATTTATGAAATGGAGTTTGTGTACCTTAAATAAAAGTTTTCTGGGTAAAAAATAAATAAATAAAAATTAACCCCCCAAAACAGAACCCAGTGTGTGTGCAGGGAATAGCATGGCATTGGTATAAAACATACATAGACCACTGTAGCAGGTAAGAGGGCCTAGAAGTAAACCTATGCATCTACAACCAAGTAATCTTCAACAAAGGTGCTGGGAACATGCACCTGGGAAAGCGTGGCCTCCTCAGTGCTGGGAAACTGGATACCCTCAAGCCGGAGGATGAAGCTAGACCCTGTCTGTCCTCACACGTGAAAATCAGCCCAACGTGATTACACTTAAACGTGAGGCCGAGAAGTGTGGAGCTGCTAGAAGAAAGCACAGAGCAAATGCTTCAGGACGTCGGAGTGGGCAGGGATTTTCAAGACTGACCTCAGGAACACGGGCAATAAAAGCTAAAGTCGACAAATGGGACTGTGTTAAGCTAAAAGGCTCTGCACAACAGCAGAATTAAAGAGCTACGATGCAACCTATAGAAGGGGAGAAAATATTTTCAAAGTATGTAACTAACAAAGGGTTAATATCCAGAATATATAAGGAGCTCACACACACCCCACAAATAATCTGATTAAAAGCTGGTCACTAGACCTAAATGGATGGTTCTCAAAGGAAGACAGGTATGTGCCCAAAAAAGAAAAAAAAAAACAAAACTCAGCATCACCAGTAACCATGGAAACGCAGATCAGAATAACAAGGTGGCATCACCTCACCTCAGCTAGAATGGCTGTTACCCAAAAGAGAAAAGAGGGCGCATGCTGGTGAGGACTGGGGAGAGGTGAAGCCCAAACACTGGTGCTGGGAATGCGAAGCAGTGCAGCCATCGCGGCAGACAGGGTGGGAGGTTCCTCGGGAAACCAGACGCCAGCTCCCTTCGGGTACCTGTGCAAAGGCACTGAAATCGGGAAACCAGACGCCAGCTCCCTTCGGGTACCTGTGCAAAGGCACTGAAATCGGGAAACCAGACGCCAGCTCCCTTCGGGTACCTGTGCAAAGGCACTGAAATCGGGAAACCAGACGCCAGCTCCCTTCGGGTACCTGTGCAAAGGCACTGAAATCGGGAAACCAGACGCCAGCTCCCTTCGGGTACCTGTGCAAAGGCACTGAAATCGGGAAACCAGACGCCAGCCCCCTTCGGGTACCTGTGCAAAGGCACTGAAATCGGGAAACCAGACGCCAGCTCCCTTCGGGTACCTGTGCAAAGGCACTGAAATCGGGAAACCAGACGCCAGCTCCCTTCGGGTACCTGTGCAAAGGCACTGAAATCGGGAAACCAGACGCCAGCTCCCTTCGGGTACCTGTGCAAAGGCACTGAAATCGGGAAACCAGACGCCAGCTCCCTTCGGGTACCTGTGCAAAGGCACTGAAATCGGCATGTCCAAGACCCTCTCATGTTGTTGCAGCACTGCTGGCAACAGCAGAAACAGAAGCAACGTAAGTGTCATCAGCCCAAGAGTGGAGGAAGGAGATGCAGGCCACAAACACAGGGATGCTCTTCACCCATGAAGGGTGCGATCTCATTTGAAACAGCTCAGAAGGGACTGGAGGTCATTTGTTGGGTGAAGTAAGGCGGGCGCAGAAAAGCAAACGCTGCGTGTTCTCACTCCTGCGGAACCTGACACCACGGTCCCGTGAAGCTCAGGGAACAGTGGTCTCCAGAGCCTGGGGACGGGGAGGGGGCATGGGGGTCTCTGGGTACTCAGTACAGCTAAGCAGGACAGACACGGACAATCGATAAGTGCAACTTTATGTGTCAATTAGAAGTAACTTTACGGCCGCGGCGGCCATTGGAGGGTGAACCAACGGCAAAGGAAGACCTTTCTCTCTCTCTCTCACACTGTCCACTCTGCCTGTCAAAAAAGAAAAAAGAAGAAGGAGGAGGAGGAGGAGGAGGAGGAGGAGGAGAGGAGGAGGAGGAGGAGGAGAGGAGGAGGAGGAGGAGGAGGAGGAGGAGGAGGAGGAGGAGGAGAGGAGAAGAAGGAGAAGGAGAAGGAGGAGGAGGAGGAGGAGGAGGAGGAGGAGGAGAGAAGTAATTTTAAAAACGAAAGAGGAGGGAAAGGCCGGCGCTGCAGCTCACTAGGCTAATCCTCCGCCTTGCGGCGCCGGCACACCGGGTTCTAGTCCCGGTCGGGGCGCCGGATTCTGTCCCGGTTGCCCCTCTTCCAGGCCAGCTCTCTGCTGTGGCCCGGGAGTGCAGTGGAGGATAGCCCAAGTCCTTGGGCCCTGCACCCCATGGGAGACCAGGATAAGTACCTGGCTCCTGCCATCAGATCAGCGCGGTGCACCGGCTGCAGCACGCCGGCTGCAGCGGCCATTGGAGGGTGAACCAACGGCAAAGGAAGACCTTTCTCTCTGTCTCTCTCTCTCTCTCACTGTCCACTCTGCCTGTCAAAAAAAATAATAATAAATAAATTTTTAAAAAAGAGGAGGGAAAGAGAGATTTGAGTGCATTTTGTGTGTCAGCGACATGAATTCTGGGGGACCAGGGGCTGAATGCTGCAGTGTGACAGTTCCCTCGGCAACCATGCTGGAATCTGTCACTGTGACAGCGTGGACAGCCCACCTGTCAGAGGTGACTGTCGTGACGATCTGCCCTCCTGAAGAAGGTGTCATTGTCACAGGGATGGGTTCAGTGCACAGGTTTCCAGAATGCCTCCTCCAAACGGGTGCCTACAAGGCAAAGACTACAGAGCAGGGGTGTGATGCCGGCAGTGCTGAGGGGGCCTGTGGCACCACGGCACCTGCTGGCACCACTCACGCCTCTCCTGGGCTTTGGTCTTTGCCAGCATCAGTGAGCTCAGATGTGGGGGTGTTCACCTCAGAGCTCCGTGGGGAACTGGGGAGGTGGAGGGGTTGTGCACAGAGCTGGGAGCAGAGTCCTGACTCTGAGAGATGCGGCTCTCATCTGCCTACCCCAAAGGTCGTGTTGGTGAGGGAGGGTCCAGGGTCCGCCTCAAACAGGACTCCCCCAGGACACCCTCGGCTATTCAAGGCCTGCACGGGAGCAGGAGCAGAGCAGCTTCGGTTCCGGGATTAAGGTAAAGTGAGCTAAAGCTTCGTCCAAGACAGCCGTCGGGCCTTACCACTCTGAGGGGACGCAGGTAGGGCAGGTTGTGCCTCACGTAAATCACGTCCACCAGGCTCAGGAGAGCGACGACGCAGTCGAAGATGTTCCAGCGCTGACGGAAGTAGTAGTAGGGATCAAGAGCCATGATTTTGAGGCACATTTCTGCTATGAAAATGGCAGTGAAAACCTAGTGGGACAAACGAGAGTGAGAAAGGAAGCTACTCCTCCCGGGAGACACGCCTGTAGGAACGGAGGGAGGAAATGACACAGGCTACAGAGAAGTAAGACAGCATGCTCGCGGTCACGTGTGGGAGCCTGTGCGAGGCTCCCCTCTCCGCTGGCGATCCCACCCCCTGCCACCAGCATTATTTCCCATCCTGTGGAAATGAGGCTAAGTAGGTTTCTTGGCAGACAGCAGGGTGATAGGAAGCGCCAGGCCCCTCCCCCGCCCCTGAACTCTCTTTAAAATATCCACCAGAGCTCCAAAGTGCGGCAGGGGGCGGGTGCACACAGCTCTGGACACTGGGATCAGATCTCCCACAGACAGGATCCACAGGAGCTCGCCCACCCACGCAATTCCAACACCGGTCACAGAAAGTGTAAACACTGCTTCCAAGTTAGAAGGGACCGAAGTGGATCATCAGAAACACTGCCTGGTGTGGAGAAGGTCGTCCAGGGACTCCTTGTGGGGGGGCTGGTTATGGCTGAAAGGAGGACTTGGCGAATCAGAACCCAAAGGCTCACTCAGGATTCAGGGCTCCTCACTGCACGGAAGGGAGGGACAGGGGTCGCAGCAAGCACTAAATCGGGTGTTTCTCAGGGAAAAAACGAATTGTTTCGTCACTGGGCTTGATAATTAGATACATACAGGCTTAAAATGTGTAGAATATTGAATAAGCAGTAGAAAAATTTAAAACCAAACCTATCTTTCATCTCTGCGGAAGATAAAGTCACAGCCAACAAGACATTCTCCATCTCACACACACACTCAGAAATACAGAAACATAAGCATACACAAATAATAAGGTAACACCAAAGGGGATGAACCTTTAAAGTATCAGCTACAAGACCCTCCACTACATTTCTGGGGGAAAATCAATAAATGATTAAATATCCTTATTAAAGGTAACAGATTATCTGTTTTTATTTATTTGAAAGACCAAAAGACAGAGAGAGAGAGAGAGAGAGAGGCATATCTAGATCTTCCATCGGAGAGTTTAGGCCTCAGGTGTCCAAAATTAGTGAGGCTGGACCAGGCTGAAGCCAAAGCCTGGAACGCCACCCAGGCCCCACGTGGGAGGCAAAGACCCAAGTGTCTGAACCATCGTCAGCTGCTTGCCAGGGTGTGCACTAGCAGGAAGCTGCAGTCAGAAGTGGAGGAGCTGGGGTTCAAACCAGGCTCTCTGACATGCGCAGTGGGCAACCCCGGCAGCGTCTTAGCTGCTGTGTGAACATCCCCAGATTCTGTGGTTATAAATAATTCGACTTATTTTATACGAAAAGCATGCCTAAAATTAAATGACGCAAGTCAAAAGTAAAGGAATATTAACTAGGATAAATCCAGGATGGACAAATTTTTTTAAAAATCGGGGGAGAGGGCAAAGGAAACTCAAGCGTGTCTGCGTCCTCCCCTCTATCACTGCTCGCCCCTGCTCGCACAGTGCCTGAACGCGTGCGTGCTGCCTGTCTGGACCCTGGTGGACTCCTCTCAGCCCCCTTGCCCTCTCCTCCTCCTGTCCTCAGGCTTCGCACAGTGCCTGAACGCGTGCGTGCTGCCTGTCTGGACCCTGCTGGACTCCTCTCAGCCCCCTTGCCCTCTCCTCCTCCTGTCCTCAGGCTTCGCACAGTGCCTGAACGCGTGCGTGCTGCCTGTCTGGACCCTGCTGGACTCCTCTCAGCCCCCTTGCCCTCTCCTCCTCCTGTCCTCAGGCTTCATGGGTCTGACTGCACAGCGTCCCTGCACACCTTGGGACCACTGGTTTTGCCAAGCCAGTTCTATACTGGGGGCTCGAGCATTGCCTCACTTGGCAACCTCTCAAGCTTGCTGGGTCTGTTTCTCAGTCCAACACCTCAGAACCTTCTAGACTGGCCTCATTCTGGTCTATCCATCAGAGATCTGGACGTGGTCCCTGGAGCTCTAGGCTGCAAGGCCTCCCCTCAGCATGACCGCTGTGAGGACGGATGAGCTGGTTGCCACCCTCACAGCCCTCACACTGCACATCTAGGAAGTGGGGCACATGCAATGGAAGCTGTGGGTCAGCTCTAGACATTTCCTGCCGAGTTTCAGGAGCTGAGGTACAGAAGCTGCCTACAGCAATGATATCCAGGTGACGCTTGTTCTTGGGGAGAGAAAAGGACGTCACACGGTCAGCCGGCTTCCCACAGCAAAACGCAGCTTCTCTTCGCTCCTGCTGTTGGACGAGCAGAGGAAGGGCTGGGGAGAGCCCCTTTGCAATGGGAAAGGCTCCTGTGGGTGCTGCCAGGAGCTCCTCAGTGCTCCATCCCTCCAGGAGGGGCTGAGGGACGGGCTCTGCTGACTGTTGAGGCGCAACCATGCCCGCGGACACTGCATCTGCCCCGACTGACACACAGCCACCAGCCCATTCTGGGACACTTCAGCAGGGGACAGCTGGACGTACTGGCTTGGAGCCCAGAAGTCCTGGCCTGCTAGGAGGTCAGGACCATGTGTTCAGCATGGTTCAGCACGCAGCATGGAAGCTATTCCGACCCCCACAGCCCCACAAGGCATTTATGCCCAAAGCACTGTGGGAAAAGGAACTGGAAGCAGCCTGTGTGTAAGGACGGCCTCGTCCCCATTTCATGCGACAGCTGCACTGTATCTCTTGCTCTCGGGAGGGCTGTGGAACCGGGCACGGCGGCCACTTGTCTCTCATTCTACATCATCCTCAACTTGGCGCGCAGGAGCAGCTTTCTTTTCAACATAAAAATTACAAATTATATGCAGAAGGTACAAGAAAGAAAAAATCCAAAAGACAAACAACATGCAGAAATCTATGCATCCACACATACACACACACCACCAGGAAATATTCTGCAAAGAGAAAAAGAGGTGGAGGGGGTTTCGACTCTACTGGAAGGATCATGGGAAATGAGTTTCTTCTTTGTCTTTCCCTTATTTATATTTTTTCTCTTAAAGGTTAGAAAAATAAAATTTAAGAAGGAAAAGCCGGACATGCCATTCACAATTCATTAACCTGCAATCCAATCAAGGTAGAATGTTTAATGGGTGATTATTTGTTGTTTCTGATATTTTGGGAAAGAATTCTCCCTTGAGAAGAATGCCTTTCACAGGAACCATGAATTAAAGTGAACAGCACTTGAAAAGTCTTCTCTCCTTTCAGAGTTTTCCCAACTTAACTGGCACTTGGAGCTGTTGGGGGAAAAATACACCGCGGTAAGCTCAAGTCTGATCCCCCGCCGCCCCTACCTGAACGCTTCTCACGCCGGCTGCCAGGCCCTGACCCACCTTTGCAGGGGGTAAAACTACCAGAGGAAGCCGGTAGTTGGTGCCGGACAGCGTCACTGCTGTCGGGGCGGGTGGGGCGGTCACTACCTCGGGCCTCTGCATATGGCCAGCATTTCCCCGATTACACCAGGGCTGACCTCTTCAGATATCTACCTGCTTCTGGACGGCCCGTGGGAGGCTCAGGAGACACTGGGCACAGACAGGGCCATGGAAGTGACGGCAATGAACGGGGCGAAAGTGAAACCCCAACAGTCACCTCTCACCTCTACTCCACGCAAGGCGCCCAAGAACGAGGCCAGCTCAGGCCACTTACAGCATTTGACCCCCAAAGGAATGACAACCCCAAACTGGAAACAGAGTTTTTGAAAGCTTAGAATTACCAAATTCCCTGTACTCAAAATGGCCTTGAAGTCCTTGTCCATGTTATGATGCTCCAGGGCCAAGAAGACGGTGTTGACGATGATGCACAGGGTGACGGCCAGCTCAGTGAAGGGGTCCGTCACCACGGCGCGCAGGGCCTTCTTGATGCACACCCACAGCGGGCAGCAGTTCCACACCAGGTACTTGGAAGCCAGGTTTTTCCCGCAGGGGAGGCAAGGCTCCTGGGCTTTTTCCTGTTCTGCAAGAGCATGAGAGAACAGGGCTGGGCTGAGGAGCGGAGCTGGCTCTGGCCCAGTCCGGCTGCTGTTTGCCCGACAGCATTCCTTCCCCCGTTTTCCCCAGGGTCTCTTGTGCACAACGTCCAGCCAAGTCAGGCACTGCCTTGTGTAGCCACAGAGGTTTGTCCACCAATCACAGCGCAGCAGAGACTCTTCCCCATGCCACCGGCAAGCGGAATGGCCGAGCACATCAAACCTGTTGAGCGCCCAGGAGCTGGGCTGCCAGAGAGGCAGGAGAACAAGTCAGTACTGCCTGGCTGTGAATCCAGGGGAGACAGGTACACCCTGCTGAGTCCTCTCAGGACAGGGCCTGGTGATGGCCGCAACCGGCACAAGCGGTACAGGGGTTTGGGGGAACTTTTCTCTACCAAGGGCCACTTGGGTATTTGTGACATCATTCCTGGACCACACAAAATCATCAGCTTAAAAGATTAGCCTGCTACAGGTTCATTGAATTTTGGGTCCTGTGTGGGGTTGCCTGGCCCATTGATTTCACAGGCTCTTACAGCCCGCCAGCCAGTGTGCTCCAGCCCTGGCTTAGGGGGAGAGAGAATTGGGCAGAGGGATCTGGAAGAGAAGGCGCTTCATCAGCTAGTTGAGTTCAGGCCAAAGAGCAGCTGGACCTTTGACTTCACTGGCACCATGGCAGGCCAAATGGGGGACAGACTAGGTGCAAGAGTGACAAGGGCCCAGCTGACCCCACTCCTGCTGGGACTCGGTCCTTCCCCGGTTAGCTGGGTGCTGGGACTCAGTCCTGCCCCTGTTAGCTGGGTGCTGGGGCTTGGTCCTGCCCCCGTTAGCTGGGTGCTGGGGCTCGGTCCTGCCCCCGTTAGCTGGGTGCTGGAGCTCGGTCCTGCCCCCGTTAGCTGGGCGTTGGGACTCGGTCCTGCCCCCGTTAGCTGGGTGCTGGGGCTCGGTCCTGCCCCCGTTAGCTGGGTGCTGGGGCTCGGTCCTGCCCCCGTTAGCTGGGTGCTGGGGCTCTGTTCCTGCCATTAATCAGGCCCATCAGGCGGTTCCAACCCATCCACACAGGTCTACGGTCCACGCTGGATTCCTGAATCTAACTTCAGTAACAACTGCCATCACCTGTGAACTTCTTCAGTTGTCACTGTCACCCAGACCTCCCGTGACTGCCTGGCTGCGGGGGAGGCCGTCTGCTTCGGGTCTGAAGTTCCACCCCAAGTCTAGCCAGTTCCCACCACCAATCAAATGCTGGCAGGAAGTGGCCCACATGGGAGGCCCACTTTTTAAAGCCATCCTGTTTGCAGGCCGCAGTGAGGCAAACCCTCACACTGAAGGGCAATGCAATGAGCTGGTTCCGAGACACAAAAGGCTGCCCTGCAGGATACTTCTTGGGGACCGCGGAGAAGGGCGATGCAAGGCCGTCACTGAAGAGGGGCTGCCAGAGGGCGGGCGGTGGAACTCACCGTGCATGGTGATGGTGAGGATGCTGACAGCGCTCAGGGCCCTCTGCCTTTGGAGGGGGTCTCCGTGCTCATCGAAGTGGTCCACGGACAGGTTCTGGGACAGGCGCTTGGTCTGCTCCAGGAGATGTGGCTGTAGGAGAAGGTGTGGTGAACCAGACAAGGGCAGTGGTGGTCTCTCATTAAACTTGATGAACTACTTTGTATCAGAGCCACACACATGAAGGCACTCCGCATTTTATAAAGCTTGGCCAACTTCATCCTCACAGCATGCCAGACGCCCCATTTTATTATGTAGAGATTGCTAGATAAGGTCATTTTAATAAATCCATTTATTTATTTGAAAGGCAGAGTTATAGAGAGACAGAAAGGGAGAAGGAAAGAGACAGACAGAAAGCAAGTGAGAGAGAGAGAGAAAGAGAGAGAGAGACTATCTTCTATCCACTGACTGATTCTCCAAATGGCCACAACTGCCGGGGCTGGGTCAGGCCGAAACCAGGAGCTTGGAACTCCAGCTAGGTCTCCCCTGTGGGTGACAGGGATCCAAGCACTTGGGCTGTTTTCTGCTGCCTTCCCAGAGGCATTAGCAGGAAGCTGGGTCAGAAGTGGAGCAGCTGGGACTTGAACTGGGGGTGCTCATACAGGAGGCCGGTGTCACAGGCAGCAACTTAATCCACTGCTCCACAATGCCGCTCCAACGTTTTATTTTTAAATAATTGTATTTCTTTATTTTTAGAGAGAGACAGACAGGCCCCTTCACTGGGTCACTCTTCAAATGCCTGTAACAGCAGGGGCTGGGCCAGTCTGAAGCCAGCAGCTGTGGACTCAGTCCTAAGTCTCCCTCTTGGGTGTCAGGGACCCAACTGCTTGAGCCATCACCTGCTGCCTCCAGTGTGCACACTTGCAGGAAGTCTAATTGGAAACAACATTTGCAAGGGGCAGAAGTAGGGGACACATTTGAAAAAGTGGAGTGGGGCCAGAGGGTAAAGTGTCTTGAACAGCTGCCTGAGTAGATTTTAAAGAAGATAGTAACTAAAGAGGACAACCTAAATGTCAGAATGTGTATTCCAAGCCCTAGGCCCTCTCTCTCAGGCTGTGTCCAAGGGTTGTTGACTCACCTTAGCCACACCTGAAGCCCCTGGAGATGACAGCATGTAACCCCGCGTATCCACAATGGCCTGTTTCCCAAAGGCTCTGACCAGTCAGGGCCCCTGTGTGCTGATCTCTGTAGTCTTCCCACAGTTATTCCCTGTCCTAGTTACCAGGGAAAGGCACTCTATATCAGGTGTCTGGGACTTTTCCTATTGTGTCCTGAGATGAGGAAAACTTGAAATCGTCAAGTAAATATTTTCTGTCTTGCTTGTTCTATGGTCCAGCAGCCAAGAACTTTCCTAACATGAGCTCTGCTCTGTCACTGTATGAGAGAGCTGACCACCGCAGGACATGGAATTCCTCTGCTTCCCACCTGCTGTCAGTCAGAGGCACTAACCCGCTGCCTGCTCCATCCCACCTACAATCTGACATGCACACACACCTGTGGCCCACCTACAATCTGACATGCACACACACCCAACACCCACTACATCCTACCTACAATCTGACATGCACACACACCCAACACCCACTACATCCTACCTACAATCTGACATGCACACACACCTATGGCCCACTATGTCCCATCTAGAATTGGACATGCACACACACCTACTGCCTGCTATGTCCCACCTACAATCAGACATGTACACACACCTGCTGCCTGCTACTTTCACCTACAGTCTGACATGAGCACACCTGTGGCCCACTACTTACCACCTACAGTCTGACATGAGCACACCTGTGGCCCACTACTTACCACCTACAATCTGACATGCACACTCACCTGCTGCCTGCATAAGCTCCCTCTTTCTGGCTTAGGAAAGTAGCTCTTACCATCCTTGCTTCCTTGGGCTTCCAACATTTTCCTCTCTGGGCATTTCTCTCAGTGATTAAAATGTAGTCGAACACCTCCCTCTTCAGTGATAAGAACAACTTTTTCTGATGCCTGTTCCTCTGTGGCTCCATGTCTGCACACCACACCATCTACCCAGTGTCCCTGCTCATCTGTTCTGTAGGCACCTCAAAACTGCCATATACACAACCGAATTTGCCATCTTCTCACTCTTCTCCATCTTGGTCCTTAACCTCCACCACGTCAGCTACCCCAGTCACGAATCAGGCATCACCCACACCCTCCATGCAGCTGACAAATTTTTCCTCTGTACATCACTGTAATATGTTCACCCATCTTCATCCTTGTTATTCGAACTCTAGTTTAAACCGCTGCCAGCTCTCATTTGGTTCACTGAAACAACCTCTGCAGTTTGTTGCCTCCAGTCTTACTGTCTTCCAATGCTCTCTCTTCAATGCAGCCAGGGTTCTAAAAATGTAGATCTGGTCATATCACTCTCTCATTTAAAACATTTCAGTGCTGCTTACCCCTTGCCCCCAGTGAACTCCTTAGCTTGGTTCTCAAGGCCTTTACCATCTTCCCACCTACCCTCACTGAACCTAGACACACACACACACACACACACACACACACGTTTTCTAATGGGATCATGTTCTCCTGCTGGCCTGTTTCCAGGACTCTGCACATGCTGCTGTTCTACCAGTTACGCCTTGTGTTCATTTCTTCTGGCAGATTCATCCTTTCACTCTAGGTACTACTTCTTCCGACCCACAGCTCTACTCCAGTCCCTGGTTAAGTCTGAGCTGGCTGTAGAAGCAGGTATTGGCTGCCCCACCCTTATGTCTTTGGTCCTTACTTGAGGGTGAGGGTTTCCTCTGTTGACCCAAACTTCCTCTACTCAATTCATAGCATGCCAGAAGCATGGGGAAAGCATTGTCTCCAGCCTCCAGCAATGTTTATCCAATCATGGGCCACTGTTCCACTGTTGGCACACACCAATCACGGGCCACTGTTCCACCATTGGCACACACCAATCACGGGCCACTGTTCCACCGTTGGCACACACCAATCCCGGGCCACTGTTCCACCGTTGGCACACACCAATCCCGGGCCACTGTTCCACCGTTGGCACACACCAATCACGGGCCACTGTTCCACCGTTGGCACACACCAATCACGGGCCACTGTTCCACCATTGGCACATACCAATCCTGGGCCACTGTTCCACCATTGGCACACACCAATCATGGGCCACTGTTCCACCGTTGGCACACACCAATCACAGGCCACTGTTCCACCGTTGGCACACACCAATCATGGGCCACTGTTCCACTGTTGATACACACCAATCCTGGGCCACTGTTCCACCATTGGCACATACCAATCATGGGCCACTGTTCCACCGTTGGCACACACCAATCACGGGCCACTGTTCCACCGTTGGCACACACCAATCATGGGCCACTGTTCCACCATTGGCACACCTTACTTCGGGGGGATTAGACTCCAGCCCCTTCAGTGGCAGCTGGCTTATTACCTTCCTGCACTCTACGAGAGGGAGCCCACACCGACACTGCTCCTCCTCTGCTCTCCCACAGTGCTCATCACCTCAGTCACCACTGGATAGTGACTGCCTGTGTATGAGTGTGTCCTAGTCATGAGTTCTAACTCTGTGGAGTAGGAACTGTGCATTCCCAGAACATACGCCCATGCAAAGCAGGTAGTTGACATTTGTAAACACTTTAAATAGACATTGATAAGTAAGTGGACAATTGAAAAGACACAGGAATGCATGAGATGATGTGAAAATTGGTGACTGGGAGTGAATGCATGAGTGAGTGAGGGGATGAATGAGTGAACGCTTTCAATTAGATTGGCAGCTGTCCCTGTCCCCACAGACAGTGCCGTGGATCACTGATCCCTGGGACAAGACTCACCTTCTGGGAGGAGTCGTCATCAGAGTCTGATCCCGGAGCCTGGTCATTCTTTGGCTCTCTCATGAAGAAAGACTTCCTTTTCTTACTACCAAAAAGCTTTCTCTTCTTTGAGGAGAAAGATGAGGCTTCAAGGGAATTCAGTGAACTTCTGTCAATTCCCATGGCAACCAGATTCTTAGTGAACAAAAGTAATTAATGAAAAATTATACCTGTCCATAAAACACCGCATGCTGTCACTGACCCCGGCCCCCGTGAGCTCACCCTCCTCTCTTCTGCCAGCACCGAACCGCTTAGACTGCTCACCGCCTGCTGGAACACACCAGCTTCGTCATTATCTATCTGGGAGATGCGCCCTGTTTCACGCTGACTGCAGCCATCAGAGGTGGGCTGACTGTGCCATCTCTGAATCACCAACCTTCGCTCTTGGGTTGTCAGCACTTGTGTCACAGCACTCAATAAATGCATAAGCCAGATGATGCGGATGTATTACTACAGATGTAAGATGAGCTTCCCTCTGACAAATCCCTTCAGAGGATGGGAAGGACCATGAAGCACCGTCCCTGTCCCAAAACTCTTAGAATTAAACTGGAAAACCTGAGACATCGAGGAAACACTCAGCATGGCCTCTAGGGACCACACGGACTTCAGGAGGGGAGAGATGGCAATGCTTGCTGTTCCAGAGCCAACCAAAGGCTGAACACCAACACCGCCGGTTCATACGGGGAAAGCAAGCAGAGCCGGGATGCACAGATCCGTGAGTTCTCCAAGCAGCAGTCTTGGAGCTGCCTCAAAGGCCCAGGCCTTAGAAGGTCAAAGAGCATCAAGACCATTGTCTCCAGAGCTCCGTGTCTGGGAAACTCACAGAGACCGCAGGGTCACTCTGCAACAAGAGCCCCAGTGAGAACGTGTTGAGGTCACACCCTGCGAGACAACGTTTGATCTTCAGCCGCATCGTCTCTAGGGTCGTGCGGGGCACCCCCACCCCAGCACGTCCCGCCGTCTGACCTCAGTGACCCTACCTCCTTCTCCTCCTTTAGCAGCCTCTGGGCTTCCTGAAACATCTTCTCCTTGGCCTCGGTCTCCGCGGCGACGTTCCTGTTCTGCTCCTCGTAGGCCATGGTGACCACAGCCAGGGTCAGGTTAATCAGGTAGAAGGAGCCCAGGAAGATGACCACCACGAAGAAGAAGACGGAGTAGAGCCCAGCAGTGCGCAGCGTCTGCAAGGGACAGAGCACAGGCGGCACTGAAGCCTCCTGCACAGGGCAGGGCCTGTCCCCTTAACAACAACACAGTCACACACAGCTGCCTCCTCCAGCCCCGGCTGGACTCAGTCCCCCTGGGAGCCTGATGCACCATCTCCCAGTGAGGCGACGCCGCCTGGACATCCACACAGGGGTCGTGGTGACGTAACCGTCTATGACTTCCCCAGAGGTCCTTGGATTTTCAAGTAAACCAAGGCACGAGAGTGCCAGTGGTGGAACTCTGAGCAGTAGCAAGTGTGGAGAGGAGGTAATGTTTGTAGGAAGAAGAGGCTGGTGTGTGTGTGTGTGTGTGTGTGTGTGTGTGTGTCTATGTGTGTGTTTTGCATTCTTCTTCCAAATATCATCTCTATAATTTTCTTGACATGTGTAATAGAATTTCTAAAGCAAAATTTAATGGCACATCTGTGAAAGATGAGGAATCTATGACTAAAGTAGGAGGATGTATGGTAGGTTTTAACTACACAACAAGTGATAGGTGGAGGAGGGAGAGGAGGGAGAAGACAGGGACTATAAACAGCTCACCTGCTGATAAAGTTTCTCCCAGGAATCCTGAGTCATAAGCCGGAACATGGCAAGAAAAGACCAGCCAAAGTTGTCAAAATTCGTGTAATTGTAGTCGGGATTAAATTTGGTGAGGCGGCATGTGTAATTTTTGGAACAGGCTCTAGACGTGAGAAACAAGGGGACAGAAAGAGTTGCGATCCCCACGGCCCGGCTCGCTCCCCGACGCGGCATCCCCCCAGCAGCCCGGCCCCTCAGAAGCCCCCGACTCACAGCAGAGCTCCCTGGGGTGCAGGGCTGCTTGGTGGGCGTCTGCCCTTCCATGCTGAGCTCCCCAGCCTTCATCTCAACACAGCTACTGCTGAGTCCTCCCCATGGGCTGCTGCATACATGCATACGAGCAAGTTCACGGACAGCCAGGGCAGCACTGACAGTGACAGTGAGTGCGCGGCGTGAATGCTGGGCCTCGCCCTCCCCAGTCGCTCAGTCCCACTCTCCTGATGCCACGATTAACAGTTACTTCTGTCAATTTCCAGAAGCTTTCTATGAGTCCAGGAGCACCGAGGTGTCCATACACACTGTTTATAGTGCAAAAATGGGAGCACGCCTTGAGCACATTCCGCACCCTGCTTGTGTCACGGAACACGTAGCTGGGAAGCACTTGCACCCAGCATCCAGGGATGTGTTTCTCCCATGTCTCCCAGACCGAGGGCTTATTTAACTGAGCTGCTCCATGGTGGCTGTTTCCATTTCAGAGGTTAATAATCCTTGGCTCCTACAAGCGTTTGGGCAATGGATAGCTCTGTACATGGGTCTTTGCCTGCTTACTAAAGCACACATAACTGAGTATATCTACAGGCTACTTCCTTAATTTTTAATAAAAATAGTATTTAATCAAAGTAACACATGCATACGGTTTAAAAATCACACACACCAAAAAGCTTGTAATCAGACCCATGGTAACATTCTCTGACCGTCACTTCCACATCCCTAATCCAGCACCTGCACTTCTTTCACACCTACATCTCTAGGCACAGTGGTTGCACTGACATCTGACTTATCCACCTTAGTTCTTGGTGGGCAATGCCCTCTAGAGTCGAGGAAGGTTAGCTCACCAGCATTTCACGCTATGTCCTCACCACGTCTACACTCCTCCCGGAAAACACTGTGCCGGGTGCCAGTGGCTCTCCAGGGCCGCTGCTTTTTCCCTTGGCTTTTGCATGTTGCCCCAAATAGTTTTATTTCCTCATTTGTCCAGAGCACCCCTCAAGTAACTGCATAAGAAGAATGAGTGATACTTGCAGACCTGAATATATCTTCATTCCACCATCACCATCAATTGATGAGTTTGTCCAGAAACATAATTGGGGCTGAACACCCTTTTCCGTTAGCAATATGAGAGCCCTGCTCAGCCATTATCCCACGTCACTGTTGAGACCTCTGATGCTATTTTGATTTTTGTCCCTTTGTGGGAGACCTTTTCCCCTTTGGTTTTGAGGTCTTTTCCCTCAAATTTCCTGAGATGCCACAAAATGCAGTTGCTGTGGTTCTTTTTCATTCATTTTTTAGGCACTGAGAGACCTGCATTCCTCCTTTTTCCCTTCAATTTATTTATTTATTTGAAGGGCAGAGTGGCACAGAGAGAATGAGATTTTCTATCCACTGGTTACTTCCCAAACAGCCACAAGAGCTGCAGTTAGGAAGGTCTCTACGTGGGTGGCAGGGACCCAGGTACGTGGGGCATCATCTGCTGCCTCCAGGGGGCACCAGCAGGGAGCTGATTTTGGAGCAAAGCAGCTGGCACTCGGACCAGGCACTCTGACATGGGATGCAGGTGGAGGCTTAATTTACTGTACAACACCGCCTGCCTCACCACCCTAGGACCTGCATTCTGGGTCTCTCTTTAAAGACTTACTTATTTGAAAGTCAGAGGTTCAGAAAGAGAGGGAGAGACAGGGAGTGAGGGGGAGAGAGAGGGAGAGGGAGGGAGAGAGAAAGAGAGATCGAGAGTGAGAGCTGGATCTTTCATCCACCTGTTCACTCCTGCTGCAACTCCTACAACTGCCAGGGCTGAGCCAGGCTAAAGCCAGGAGCTGGGAGATTCTTCTGGGTCTCTCACATAGGTGGCAGGTACCCCAGGACTTGGGCCACCTTCCTCTGCTTTCCCAGACCACTAACAGGGAGCTGGATTGGAAGTGGAGCAGCTGGGACACAAACAGGTGTCCATATGTGCCTGCATTCTTTTTTTTTTTTTTTTTGGACAGGCAGAGTGGACAGTGAGAGAGAGAGACAGAGAGAAAGGTCTTCCTTTGCCTTTGGTTCACCCTCCAATGGCCGCCGTGGCCGGCGCACTGCGGCCGGCGTACCGCACTGATCCAAAGACAGAAGCCAGGTGCTTCTCCAGGTCTCCCATGGGGTGCAGGGCCCAAGCACTTGGGCCATCCTCCACTGCACTCCCGGGTCACAGCAGAGAGCTGGCCTGGAAGAGGGGCAACCGGGACAGAATCCGGCGCCCTGACTGGGACTAGAACCTGGTGTGCCAGCGCCGCCGCAAGGTAGAGGATTAGCCTAGTGAGCCGCAGCGCCGACCAACCTGCATTCTTAATCCCAGGGAAATTCTATGGATCATTTCTTTTCTAATTTCCTCTCTTTCGTGTTTTCTGTGCTCTCTTTACAGAATTTCTACTTAGTCAAAAGTTGGAACCACTGGACTGATGCTTGTTCTCATATTTTCCGTTTCTGCCTTTGATTTCTCATTTCTGGCTTATTTCCTCAACTTTATCTTTTAATTCTGATACTGAATCTTTTGGTACTTATGCTTAATTTCTAATAAACTTCTTGCTTTATGACTTCCTTTTTCATAGCTAGCCATTTTTCAAACGTATGCAGAAATCTTTTGATTTCTCCAAAGACCCTATTTAAAGGTTGTGGAGTCCTTCTGGGCTCCCTGCGTCCACGGCCACTTTTTCTGTTTCTCTCTCTCAGCTTCCTTTACAGCCAGGTGAGTGGGGCTGCCCAGCTGCACTAACAGAGGTGCTGCCACGGCACCTGGAGTTGGCCTGCAGTGCAGAGTGGGACTCCGCAGCTTTAGGGGGCTGAGGAGGAGCCTCCAACGGACCTCAAGGGAAGTCGTGAGATGCCAGTGTCCTCTGACTGCGGGGAGCCTGTCGAGGGTGAACCTGCCAGACTCGGTTTCCCTCATTTCCTGGTCACCATTTACAACGAAGGCCTGACTTGTTCAGTCTCTCCCTCTCTGCATGGACCTTCCTATCAGCTTCCCTGATTACCTCTCCTCCAGCACTCTCCTCCCAGAAACGCATCGTCAGGCGCTCGCACCAGAAAAGAGAGACAGACCCGCCGTTCCCCACACGTATCCACACCAACGGCCATCTTTGATCCACAAGCCCTGTTCTTCCTGTCTCTTAATTCCTGTGAGATTCATCCACCCAGCTCGCTCCCCTGTCATACCTGGACCAACACAGCTTTCCTAAATGTCTTCCTCGGATGTGAGGGCGATCTGGCTGCGACATCTGTCACCCCATTGATCGCCAGGGTTGATTCGGCTGATCTGGCTGGCTAGGCGGGTGTCCCCTTCCTCCCTCACTGCTCCATGTGCGTCCCTCCCGAAGCTGCGCGCTCGGTCGAAGAGGACGACCATCCCCGCTAGAGGAGGACCGGTCTTCGGTCAAGGGTATACGAGTAGCTGCGCTCCCCTGCTAGAACCTCCAAACAAGCCCTAAATGTCTTCCTCACCCACTCCACACATTCACTCCTCAAGCAGCCACAAAATTCTAATCTTCCCAGAGACTTCCACTGATGAAAACTTGGCCAGGTGTCCGTTTTCTTTTGTGACTGAGATCAGTTCTCAGCACTAATGGACTGCTGGCTTGGTACAGTGGGTCCTGCCTCCCCTCCCACTTCCTCTGCTGCCTCTCTGCCCAACCAGCCGGGGGTTTCTTGCCCCAGCAAGCTCTGATGGCCCAAGCCTTCCCACCTGCTGCTTCTGCTGTTTAGAGTTGTCTCTCTCTCTGCATCTGCTGGAAACTCCAACTCATCCCTCAGGCTGGAGCTTTAGCTCCTACAGGGTTAGTCCTCAGGGAAGGAAGCAGAGAGCAAACAGGGGACACCAGCCCTGGGTCTAGACACAGGAGGTAAGCCTGTGTGAGGTCCTGGGACCGGCCTCAGGGTGCTGTCGCCTCAGAAGCTTCTGTGTTACCACAGGTGTAGAATGCCATGCACTAGGAGTTGGCTGTTATTTTTTCAAAAAACCAGCTCTTCATTTGCTAATCTTTTGTATTGATTTTTGTTTTCAATTTAGTTTATTTCTTCTCTAATTTTAATTATTTCTTTTCTCCTACTAGTTTTGGGTTTGGTTTGCTGTTGTTTTTCTAGATCCTTGAGATGCATTGATAGTTCATTTACTTGGTGCCTTTCCAATGTTTTGATGTAGGCACCAATTTCTATAAACTTTCCTCTAACACCATTTTTGTGTTATCCCATAAGTTTTGATATGTTGTGTTGTTGCCTTCATTTGTTTCCAGAAATTTTCTGATTTCTTTTTTGATTTCTTCTACGACCTCACTGTTCATTCAGGAGTCTCCCTGTGTTTGCGTATGTTCTGGAGATTCCCAAGTTGCTGATTCCCAGCTTCATTCCATTGTGGTCTGAGAAGACCACAATGATTTCGATTTTTTTTAATTTGCTGAGACTTGTTTTATGTACTAGCATGTGGTCAATCCTAGAGAAAGTTCCATGCACTGGAGAGAAGAATGTGTACTCTGTGGCTGTATGGTGGAAGGCTCTGTAGCTATCTGCTAGGTCCATTTGGTCTACGGTGTCAAGTAACTCTGTTGTTTCCTTGCTGGTTTTCTGTCTGATTGATCTGTCCATTGCTGAAAGATGGGTATTGAAATCCCTCATTACTATTGTATTTGAGTCTAAGTCTCCCTTTAAATCCCTTAACATTTCTTTTAAATAGCCAGGTGCCCTGTGATTAGGTGCATGTACATTTATAACAGTCACATCTTGCTGTCAAATTGATCCTTTAATCATTGTAGTGTCCTTCTTTGTCTCTTTTAATAGTTTTTGTGGTAAAGTTTTTTTTTTTTTGTCTGATATTAGGATGGCCACACCAGCTAATTTGTGGTTTCTGTTAGCATGGATTAAACTTTTCCATCCTTTCACTTTCAGTCTGCATGCATCTTCGCTGGTAAGATGTGTTTCTTGTAGGCAGTAGATAGATGGGTGTTCTTTTTTAATCCATTCAGCCAGTTGTGCCTTAACTGAGGACTTGAGACCATTTACATTCAGGGTGACTACCGTTAAGTACCAACTTTGCCCTGCCATGTTACTGTAAGTAGTTCTAATTTTGTATTTTGGGTTTCCTTTGCGCCTTTGCTGGGTCATTTTCTGCGTTCATTATCTTTCGTAGTGATGTTCCTGTTTCTGTGTGTAGCACCTCCTTGAGCATCTTTGTAGGGCTGGTGAGTAGTTCTAAATTCTTTCAATTTCTGTTTGTTGTGGAAGATCTTTATTTCTCCTTCATTCGTAAATGAGAGCTTTGCAGGGTACAGTATTCTGGGTTGACAGTTTTTTCCTCTTAGGACTTGGAATATATCTGACCATTCCCTTCTTGACTATAGAGTTTCCTTTTTTTAAGATTTATTTATTTATTTGAAAGCCAGTTACATAGAGAGAAGAGAGGCTGAGAGAGAGAGAGAGATCTTCTGTCCAATGGTTCACTCCCCAATTGGCCATTTGGCCAAAACAGAGCTGCGCCAATCCAAAGCCAGGAGCAAGGAGCTTCTTCCAGGTCTCCCACATGGGTTCAGGGGCCCAGGGACTTGGGCCATCTTCCACTGCTTTCCCAGGCCACAGCAGAGAGCTGGATCGGAAGTGGAGCAGCTGGGTCTCAAACCTGCACCCATATGGGATGCCGATGCTTCAGGCCAGGGCATTAACACTGTGCCACAGCATTGGCTCCAATGTATAGAGTTTCTGATGAGAAGTCTGCAGTGAGTTTAATTGGATTTCCTCTGAATGTGATTTGGTCTTTCTCTCACACACATTTTAAGATCTGTTCTTGGCCGGCGCTGCGGCTCAATAGACTAATCCTCCACCTGTGGCGCCAGCACACGGGGTTCTAGTCCCGGTTGGGGCGCCGGATTCTGTTCCTGTTGCCCCTCTTCTGGTCCAGCTCTCTTCTGTGGCCCGGGAAGGCAATGGAGGATGGTCCAAGTGCTTGGGCCCTGCACCCCATGGGAGACCAGGAGAAGCACCTGGCTCCTGGCTTCGGATCAGCATGGTGCGCCGGCCACAGCGGCCATTGGAGGGTGAACCAATGGTAAAGGAAGACCTTTCTCTCTGTCTCTCTCTCTCACTGTCCACTCTGCCTGTCAAAAATAAATAAATAAATAAAAGATCTGTTCTTTTTATTTTACTACAATGTGCCGTGGTAAAGACCTTTTCTGGTCATGTGTGTGGGAGTCCTGTGTGCTTCCTGTACTTGGATGCCCCTTTCCTCCTCCAGAGTGGGGACGTTCTCTGTGATTATCCCACTAAGAAGGCCTTCCGATCCTTTCTCTCTTCCAACGCCTCCCAGAACTCCTAGGATCCGTATGTTGGTCATTCGATAGGATCTTGTAGATCTCCAACCGTGTTTCTTAGTTTTCTAGTTTCTTCTTTTTTTGGTCTGACTGTAATATTTCCAGGAATTTGTCTTCTAGTTCTGATATTTATTCTGCCTCACCAATTCTGTTGTTAATGCTTTCCACTTGATCTATGGAATTCTTCATTTCTAGGATTTCACTCTGACTTCTCTTTAATATCTCAATTTCTTGGGAGTGCTTTTCACTTAGATTGTGAATTTGCTTCTGATTGCTTCTAAGTAATCTGATGATTGATTTTCTGAATTCCATCTCTGGCTTATCCTTGATCTCATCACCTTCACCTTCTATTATTGAAGAGGTGTAGTGTTCCTTTGGGGGCTCATGTTGTCTTCCTTATTCTTATTTAGGGTTTTTGTTTTGTTTTTGGCATTTTGTATTTTTTCTTTTTGTGTCTGGTTGCTTTTCTCTTGAATTTGTGTCTTTGTGCTTGCTGTGAGGTTTCCCTCTGATATGAGCTGCTGTGTGTCCACGCAAGTGGAAGCACACAGCCCCACCTACTGGGGCCCGGCTCACTTCTCAATTGTGGTGGGAGCGGGTAAGAGCTCTGGTGCACAGAGCCCCGCCTACTGGGGCCCGGCTCACTTCTCAATTGTGGTGGGAGCGGGTAAGAGTTCTGGTGCGCGGAGCCCCGCCTACTGGGGCCCGGCTCACTTCTCACTGGTTGATGGAAGGAGCCTGAGTTTTTGATATTCAGGACTTCTCCTTGTGGTACAGCCTGAGTTTTTGATATTCAGGACTTCTCCTTGTGGTACAGCTTGTGTGGTGGGTGCGCGGAGCCCCGCCTACTGGGGCCCGGCTCACTTCTCACTGGTTGATGGAAGGAGCCTGAGTTTTTGATATTCAGGACTTCTCCTTGTGGTACAGCTTGTGAACTGAAATGCTGTGGCTCTAATTCCTGGGTGGGGGGTGTGGTGAGGGGCATGTGCGTGGGAGGCAAAGGCTGTGGTCCCTGCTTACATTCAGAAGTGTAAATGAGCAAAATGGCTTCTCCCAGCCGGCTGCAGGTCTGGTTGTGGGGAGGGGAGGACGTAGCCGGGCAGGGGATACCCAACCTCTCTGTTCGTCTATACCTTCTCTTTATTCCCGTGTCGAACTTCAAATGCAGGTCATCAAGCTCCCCCTCCTGCTGATGTCCCCGTGGACCCGTGGTTTTTCCATCTCACCTGGTCTGCTGGGGGCTGGCGCCAGCTTCCCTGGTGCACACCTCTGCCACTCCCCGTTCTTATTTGCTCTTTCAGCATGGACCTGCCCAGTCTCTGTTGGTCTCCTGGACTTCCCCTCGTGAATTTCCCATGGCTCTTTCTCCGTGTGTATCCTCTCTCCTTTTTAACTATTTGCCCTGCGTGACTCGGGCTGTCCTGTTGCTATACCACCAACTGGGGACCCCTTCTGCAGTAGGTTTTTATAAACTACCTTTTCAACAAAACTGAGGGGGAAAGCTCCTCTAAACACTTGGAAATAATTTTTTTAATTTAATAATAACACAAGTCTAACCTTTCTTACATGTAAAAACAGGACCATCTCAGAACTGCCATCGCTGCTCCCACTGGTCACTTGCAGCCGAAGACCCTTGGCCAAAGCATTCCAGAAAGTCAGGAGGCGAGTACAAGCCTCTTACCTGTCCTGCATCCAGGTGCCGCACATTCTGAATTCTTTAGAGTTTTCTTCTTTCTCAAAGCATTTGTCTGATAGAGGAGAGAGTCACAAATTCAGATAAAAAACTTAAAGGAGAAAGAGTAGCAAATATATCAGATCCGCTTGAAAACAGATGATTCTTTCAAGTCTTAGTCTCTAGAATGACTAAGGTGGGTGTCCAAGGAGAAACTGCAGCCCAAGCCCGCAGAAAGGGGGCCAGAGGAAAGGAAGGGAGGGAAGCCGGCAGGAGAGGCAGGAGGAGCGGCAGCGACGTCATCAGCCACGCTCTGCGCCCGGGTGTGCACTGCGCACCACACTGCCACCCCAGGAAGCTGGAACCGCCTCGGCCCGTGACAGACATGAAGAGAGCGTAGCAGGATGTGTGCAGGGTGTGGGTCGTAGAGAGGGTGGGCACAGAGAGCAGTGTAGTGGGAAAGTACCCAAGGATGGGGCTGGGACGTTGCTGTCCCCCCACGGCCAAAGCCAGGCATTCTGAACGCGTCTGTAAAATGTGACAAAGAGACAGGCCAGACTCAGAAATGGCAAAGACTGTGGATGTGACTTTGGGTTTTTCCTTCTCCCATGGAGATCCAAGGGGTGAAGCAAGTCCCTGGAACTCATCTGCCTGCATGAGAACGCGGACGCAGCCCTCCCTGGCTCCCAGGAGACTCATCGCGCGCAGGTCACGGGAGCAGGGGTCAGGACGTCACCGTGCACAGCGCCGGGGTAAGCTGCGTGTCTCCCCTCACCTGCCAGGTGATGACTGTGGTTCACGCACTCGTTGTCGACACACTTGAGGCTCAGGCTTCCCATGAAGAGCTGCTGGCCCACCAGCGCAAAGATGCTGAGGCAGAACAGGGTGAGGATCATCACGTCCACCAGCTTCTTCACGGAGCGCAGCAAGGCCCCCACAATGACCTTGAGCCCTGCGGAGGAGGACAGGTGTGGGCGCCCGACCAGAGGCAGGCCGGGGCACCGAGGCAGCAGGCTCGCGGCGGGGAGCCCTGAAATACGAGACACGTGTGAAAGGGGAAGGCTGTAGGGAGGCTGGAATGGAAAGCTGGCCTGCGGAGCAGCCTCCTGCCTTGAGTTCTTGTTTGAACTAATGCCGCCGAAGCTGTGTGCCTCGATGCAGTCACCCGCGTGGGGATGGCCCACCTTGTCCTGCCCTGGCCACGCCTGAGGGACGCTGAGCGAGCAAGTGTGGGGAGCAACTGGGAGCAACTCGGACTAGACTAAGTTACTGGAATTAAGACTTATTCTAGGCCGGCGCCGCGGCTCACTAGGCTAATCCTCCGCCTAGCGGCGCCGGCACACCGGGTTCTAGTCCCGGTCGGGGCGCCGGATTCTGTCCCGGTTGCCCCTCTTCCAGGCCAGCCCTCTGCTGTGGCCAGGGAGTGCAGTGGAGGATGGCCCAGGTGCTTGGGCCCTGCACCCCATGGGAGACCAGGAAAAGCACCTGGCTCCTGGCTCCTGCCATCGGATCAGCGCGGTGCGCCGGCCGCAGCGCGCCGGCCGCAGCGGCCATTGGAGGGTGAACCAATGGCAAAGGAAGACCTTTCTCTCTGTCTCTCTCTCTCACTGTCCACTCTGCCTGTCAAAAAAAAAAAAAAAAAGACTTATTCTATGCATCTGCTCTCCCACAATATGGCGCTGGGAGAGGAGGAAACAGCTTCTACACAGATGCCTCCAGTTCAACCAATAGACTGTGGGACCTGCTCCTGATTGGAGGAGAGCAGCGTACTCGGCGTGTGGGTAGCAGAGCTGGGATTGGCGGAAGAGGACTATAAAGGAGGAGAGAGACAGCATGCACCAGGAACATCTATCTGAAGGAACACCTGAGCAGCCCCCGAGAGAGCCGGCCGGCGGTGTGCCGCTCCCCCGCGGAAGTGGGGAAAGTGGCAGGGGGAACAGCCCTTCCACGGAGGTGGAAGGGTCGGTAGCCAACCCGGGAAGAACCAGCAGCAAACCCGGGGAGGGCCGAGCAGACGAAAGAACAACGCAGGGTCCTGTGTCGTTCCTCCACGAAGACGGGGAGCGACAGCAAGGATACCTGCAGAAGCCACAGGGACACAGGCAGAGCTGGATGACCGCTGTGAGGGCAACTTCACACTGGAGGTCACAGACAGCGTTAAGGCAAAAGAGTGAGATCAGCCTGTACTTAGCACTTGGTAGTTACTATCCAGGTGCACAAGGCATCCTGGGAGGGATCAGAGGAAGTGGATCACCGTACGTGAACTGCTAAACTGGCATTGGGGTTGGAGGGAGAGGCTCAAGAGGCAGCTTTGGACACAAATAATGAGCATGTCCTAAAGCTGGGATTATCACTAGAACAGGGAGTTTTCCTTTTCACTCATTCATTCTAGAAAGTTGGCCGAACGCCTGCTACTTCCACGGCACGCTGGAAGGCTTCCCGACCTGCAAACAAGGACTTACTCCTGCGACGCCACACGGGCTCGTAAATGCTGGACTCTGTTTGCCCCGGTGGAGAACGGGGAGAACTCTGCCTTGACCGTTTACGGTTTCCCCGCTCACTGAGATCTATGGAGAAGCTGCTGATTCCCCTCCCACTCCAAGGTGATTTAAACCGCCAGTATGATGGACACGGAGTCAGAAAAGGAGCTGTCAGCTCCTGCAATCCGCTGAGTTGTAGTCTTTGGCCTCGAGAGAGAAACTCCTGGGTGTGCGTTGTAATGTGAGCAATGGCACTAGTTACACAAGTTCAACCCTTCCGTGGGGCTGTGATGACTGGCAGGTGGGGAGGAGCCTAAGGCCACGCTGGGACACACACTCCATCTTCACTGTCAGTCAGATCAGGGTTGCTACAGCCTCAACCAAGTCACACAACGAGAGGCTTTAGTCTTCTCCAACGAGAGAAATTCAGGTAGAAGAAGCTTGTGATTCCCAAATCACTTTGAGCTAGCCCCCAAAACGACTGCACCTCGCAAGCCGGCTTCCAGGCAGCAGCCAGGTATTGCAGGGTGTTTTCCGGGTCAAAACGGAGACTGTCTTCTCCTGCTTAGAGATGAAGAAGACACTAAAGCTCTACATGATTGCCTGACTGCGAGTCTTACCCATTAAGAAGGTTGCATGGTCCTAAATATACCGGGACGACTGGTATCCTTGCACAGAAGAGGTGGAGGAAGGACAAATTCTATGTAAGTTTCCCTTTGACTGCAGCTTTTTTCACTAGGTGGTTACGTTTCTCACCCACTGCCTCTATTTGAAAGGATTCAAATCGCCTGGAGTTTAAGTATGGGGGCGGGGGTATTGTTTAAGTCTATACAACAGGCGCAATCAAATTGTTCCCATGGCTTTTCATGGTTTGCCAAAGCCACTCCCAGGTGAGAATGCGAGGGGAAGGTGGAAAGATTTTTTAGTGGGTTTGTTTTGGAGAGAGAGAGAAGGGGGTTGGAGAAGACAACAGTATGCTGTAATCAGTCTCATTTTCTAATACACTGGAATTCCTATCCACAAGGCAGCCTGGCTTCATCCTCATTTACCCCTGCTTCCAGATCATCACCAGGTGCCTCCTACTTCACACTACTTCACTGTTGTCTCCTCTGCTGATTTCTCTCCCTTTCCTCTCCTCTTTAAGGTTGCAGTGCCCCGGGGCCGGCACTGTGGTGTAGCAGGTTAAGCCGCTGCCTGCAGCGCCAGCATCCCATATGGGCGCTGGTTCAAGTCCCAGCTGCTCAACTTCCTATCCAGCTCCCTGCTAATGCACCTGGGAAAACAGTGGAAGATGGCCCAAGTGCTTGGGCTCCTGAACCTATGTTGCAGACCTGGAAGAAGCTCCTGGCCCCTGGCTTTGGCCAAGCTCAGCACTGATCATTGTGGCCATTTGGGGAGTAACCAGTGAGTGGAAGATCTCTCTCTGTCTCTCCCCCTGTCTCTCTGTAACTCTGCCTTTCAAATAAATAAATAAATCTTTGAGAAAAAAAGGAAAAATGAAAAGGGCAGTGCCCTGGTGCTCAGCCGCTGGCCTGTGTCTATGCTCATTTCTTTGGTAATATCACCAGACTTGTGGCATATCAACCATCTCTGCACCCTAAACACAAACCAGGGTACTTTAGAAAGTTCACAGGAATATAAAATTTAAAACACTAGTTTCTTATAGGTGCAAAAAGAGCCCAGCGCTGTGGCACAGTGAGCTAAGTAAGCTGCTTCCTGCGACAATGGCATCCTGTACCAGGGTGCCGGCTGTGTCCTCGTTGCTTCAGTCCTGATCCAGCTCTCTGGATGTGCCTGGGAAGGCAGCTGATGGTGACCCAAAGGCTTGGGCCCCTGCACCCATGTAGGAGACCAGGGTGGAGTTCCAGGCTCCTTGCCTCCGCCTGGCCCAGCCCAACCATTGTGGCCATTTGGAAAGTGAACCAGCTGTTGGAAGATCTCTCTCTCTCTCTCTCTCTCTTTCTCCCTTTCAAATAAAAATAAATAAATAAATCTCTGAAAAGGCTTTTTAAAATCCACGCATAGCTGTTTCCTAATAATGCATTTCCTACATATTACAAAAAAATTTTACTCCCAAATAAATTCATCTTTTTAATTCTATTTTTCCACAACTTGTGGAAGAGCCTCATCTGCCAAACCGCCTACCTCATTCTTTTCCCTGAGGCCTCCCAGCCGTGCCGGGCACATGTCCACCGCCAGCCCCTACTCTGAGCCCCGGGCTCGCCTCTGTCACAGCCGTCCCTGGCTCAGGCAGTGGTCGCTCCATCTCTCGAGTTTTGCTGGACTCCTCTCACTGCTCACACCATGCACACCGCACAACCAACCTGGCAGGGAATCCTATTGTTCCCATATTCCAATTCACACACAGTCTGACCACTGGCCCCCAGCGCCCTGCTTGGATTACGGCCTCTCAGGTCAGTGTGGGTTCCGAGAGGCAAACACGTTGGGCTCAGGGATTGCGTGGGGGCGGTGGGGAGATACCTGTGCAAGACGAGGGGGAGGAGCAGCAGTCAGCAGGGAGAGGCTTCAGGCGTCAAGGCAGGAAGAGAGGGGAAGGAAGCAGGGTTGGAGAGGAGGAGCCAGTGTGAGGCGCTGTCACCCAGCCAGCTGGCAAGCACTCAGTGAAGAGGAGTCCCAGGGCCGTCAGGAACGGGCCAGCACTAGCACCCCCCCCCACCTCCCCCACCACCAACCCCCGCACGGCCAGCGAGTCTGGGAACTGGCATGAATGCAGCAGTGAACCCAGAGAGGTGACTGCTGGGACGGTCAGTCAACACGGCGTGTTTCCATGGCAACCACTAGGTCTCCTACCTGGCTGTCTTGCTTCTACCACTGCTCCCCGACATTCTGCTCTCCACACACAGCTCCTGGGTCTTCCGAGTAGAACCTGAGTCCTTCCTTGGCAATAGGTCTCCCCTCCATTTCTGTGGTCCCTGGGCCCCTCACCCACTCCTGCCCAGCCCGACCAGCATCCTGCTGACCTGGACTTTGCCCTGGTGTCCCCCAGGCTCAGAACACTCTTTCCTATATAAGTTCCCTGCTACTCCACCACTGTCAACTCCTTTCCCCTCTCACCTTCCCCACAACACCTCCCTGTTGCTCGGCCACCCCTGCCCCTAATCTCTGCAGCTTCCCATGGCTTCGTGCTGTTTACTTTTTCATTTTCCATAGTGCGCAGAATTTTCTAGCACACTATATAGTTTATTAATTTAGACTAGTTATTGTTTCACTTCTGTCTCCCCAACCCTCACCTTAAAACACAAACTCCCTGGTAGCAGGGCCCTTTGTCTTACAGATTCCGAGCAGCTAGCACAGTGCCCAGACATATTAAGTGTCAGATAACTACTGGCTGAACGATCAAACAGCTGCACAGAGCAAGGGTGACTGGTTTGTTTGGGCTTCCATGATGGCATTTTGAGAAATCTCGGAAGGACATTGCCTCCAGTGAAGAGCCAGTGTTTAGAGTCCGAGTGACTTACCTGAAACCACAGAAATGGCTTTCAAAGCTCTGAACACTCGGAAGGTTCGCAGGGACAACAGATTGATGTTGATGTTTGGGAAATAGGACACAATCCTGCAAGATAAAGCACAGGGAAAGCCTGGGCTTCCTCAGTCCCCTGGCTGTGCCGTGTGTCTCCACAGAGACACGGTCAGCATGGCCTGGGGTGCACACCCGCCACGGGGAGCTCTGCGGTCCTCCTTCCCCGCCCCACCTTCATCTCAGGGTCTGACAGCATCCATGCCCCGGGTATGGACCAGGGACTGCACAGTATCAACACCCAATAGTCTGAACTGTGCCCTGCACAGGAGGCTGTCTTCAGCAGACACAGGCAAGGCTTCATTGAAATAGTTCATTGGTTGTGGTCATGTCCAGTGACAACTGAAACCCTCCCAAACATGTTTTGACCGGATACCAAGTTACAGGCTCAACACATTTGTCTGAGGTCTCCCAGTCACTACCCAGCCAAGGCTGCATGTGCACCCAGGCCTTCCGCATCAGAGCTCGCGCTGTTAACCAAGCTCCACGTCACCTGTCAACAATTAAGAGCACGTACCCAGCGAAGAAATGTGAAACTCAGATACTCATCGCATTTACCTCCAGCAACTTCTGTGGATATTAAATGGGAAAATATACGTGAAGTGCTCAACACATGCCTTGCACAAACAAGTAGAGTTAGGTTTATTGCTGAACAGGCAGTGGCCACTTCTTTTCCCAATTTTAATTCAGGTGCCAAAGCCGTGTCCCCTCCCCAGGAGGAACATTGACCCTCCCCTCACTTCAGCACAGTAATCCATTCACGATGGACTGCAGGCTTTACCAAAAATGGCAAACCATAAAACCACTGGACATAGACATGAGTGGAGCCATCTGTGACACTGCAGTTGCAAGGAGTCTTAGACTTCCATTCCTTCTATTTGCCGGAAGCCTGATATCCTGGCACATAGCTTGCCACACTGTCACTCACTGTTTCTCTTCCCCTCTGGACTGTGAGCTGCTCAGAGCTGACCAACAGTGCACTCAGAGCTGCAGGTGTTATCAGCCACACCCTGCGACTCATGTGGACCGCACAGAAGCCTGGGGGAACCGAAGCACTTCTTCCCCACCCCAAGTCTCCTCAGGAGCAATGTTTAATATCCTTACGCTGTTCCAATGACGATGGAGTCCAACCAGTTCCATGGATCTCGAAGGAAAGAAAATTCATCCAGAATAAAACCTCTTGCCAGTATTTTTATCAAAGCTTCAAAAATGTAAATCCCGGTGAAGACGTATCTACAAAGCAAGTCGTTCGGCACAGGAAGGAAATGGTCAGTGAGGTGGAAAGCAAAGAGCCCTCTGTCTCGTCTGGCCTTGAATTTCACTTCATTTCAATGTGAGATGGAAGCTCTGGTGTCCTCAAGCCAGAGTTCAGAAAACAAGCACCCCCAGCACGTTCTGGCACTCAGAACTTGCGAGAAACAGGGCCATCGCAAAGCTGTCAAGCTGCTGTCAGACACCAGCCTTGTGGCCTTCTACCCAAGAGTGGCTTCAGGCAGAATGGGACGTGAGGACTGCAGGTTGTAGTTTGTCGCTATCATTCTAGAGCTGTCACTCTGGTGTGTGGTGAGGGGTCACTGAAGACCCCAAATGACAGGGCAAACTCCTGAGTCTCTCTATACTCTGTGTTCACAGATGGAAGGCTTAACACTGCTAAGATGGTATACTGCCTAAGGTGGTCTGCCAATTCAAGGCAACCCCTATCAAAATACTGAAGGCTGCTGGGGGTGAGAAATACTTCAATCATAAACATCATATGGAATTTCAAGACTCCAAACAGTCAAAAAAATCTTGAAAAAGGATAAAGTTGGATACTTATATTTTCTGAAACTAAAACTTACTACAAAGCAACAGAAATTAGAATAGTGCGGTAGTGACATAAAGATGTAAAGACCAATGGAATAGAATAATCTTTCATTTACAAGGTCAAATGATTTTCTTTCTTTTTTTAAATTATTTGACAGGTAGAGTTTTAGACAGTGAAAGAGAGAGACAGAGAGAAAGATCTTCTGTCCATTGGTTCACTCCCCAAATGGCCGCCATAGCCGGCGCTGCCCCAATCTGAAGCCAGGAGCCAGGTGCCTCTTCCTGGTCTCCCCTGTGGGTGCAGGGGCCCAAGCACTTGGGCCATCCTCCACTGCCCTCTCGGGCCACAGCAGAGAGCTGGACTGGAAGAGGAGCAACCGGGACTAGAACCCTGTTCCCATATGGGATGCTGGTGCTGCAGGCGGAGGATTAACCAAGTGAGCCACTGCGTCGGCCCCAGGGTCAAATGATTTTCAATAAAGGTGCCAAACAACTCAATGGAAAAGGAAAGTCCATTCACAAATGTTGAGATCTTAAAGAGAAATCAAAATGAAATCTTGGAAATGAAGAATTCAATAGAACAAATTAAAAATACAGTGGAATGCTTTAACAACAGAATCGGTAAAGCAGAAGAAGGAATATCTGACTTAGAAGACAAAGCACAGGAAATTATAGTCAGACCAAACACAAGAAGAGGAAATTAGAACTCAAAAACAATGTTGGGAAAATAGGATAATATCAAACCATGCAACATACGGGTTCTAGGAGTTCCTAAAAGCATAGAAAGAGAGATAGAATTAGAAGGCCTTTTTAGTGAAATACTAGAGGAAAACTTCCCTAATTTGGAGAAAGGGATATTCCAGTACAAGAAGCACATAGCACGGCTAATAGACGTGACCAGAAAAGATCTTCACCACGATGCATTGTAATCAAACTCACCACAGTGAAACATAAAGAAAAGATCCTAAAATGTGCACAAGAGAAACACCAGATTACTCTCAGAGGCTCTCCAATTAGACTCACAGTGGACTTCTCATCAGAAACCCTACAGGCTAGGGGAGAAGGGTGAGAGATATTCCAAGACTTAAGAGAAAAAAACTGTCAACCCAGAATACTCTACCCTGCAAAGCTTTCTCTTATGAATGAAGGTGAAATAAAGGCCTTCCACAACAAACAGAAATCGAAAGAATTTGAAACCACCCATGCAGCCCTGCAAAAGATGCTTAAGAATGTGCTGCACACAAAAACACAGAAATATGGTCATGACTATGAAAGAAAGTAAAGGAAGAAAATCTCCCAGTAAAAGTCCAAAGGAAATCCAAAGTGAAAAATATAAATATTTTTGGGAAAATGGCAGAGGAAAGTCATTACTTACGGGATATATCCTCTATGGAATACTATACAACAGTAAAAAATGAAATCCAGTCATTTGCAGCAAAATGAATGAATCTGGAAAGCATCATACTTAGTGAAATAAACCAGTCTCAAAGGAACAAACACCATATGTTCTCCCTGATCTGTGTTAACTACTAGAGCACCTAAAAGGAAATCTGTAGAAGCGAAATTGACACTTGAGAAGCAATGACTTGAACAGCCCTCGTCTTGACTGCCGAGGAACGATTTCTTTTTTTCTTTCTCTTCTCATACTATTTGCTGAATTCTTCTATAGAGTTAATCATATGTGTATAAAGTCAATTGAAAATAATTCTCAGTAAAAATCAGAGTTGGAATAAGAGAGGGAGGAGAAAGTTTGTAACTGTAAATCTGTGTAGTTCTGCATACATTCCTACAGACTTACTTCTAAGGGTACAGTTTAAAAATCTGCCATGGGACTCCAAATCGCATTAGGCTGGGTGGTAAAAATGCCATCTTTAATGTTAAAGTGATCACACTATGTGTTAAAGTGAACATATATAATAGGATTAAGTATTAAAGTGATCATATAAGTAAGATCAAATATCTGGTAATAACAATAGATAGAATTAAACAGAAGAGAATGTTCCAACATGGGAAGCAGTCTACACAGCAGATTCATAGAAGGACAATTGCTTTAAGTAGCACTCTGACCTCAGAATCAGCCCTGGACTGGCTGAAAAGCCTATGAGAGCATTTCAGGCATGGAAAGACAAGACACTGTGGCAAAAAAATTATCTACATGAAGGATCTCTGTGAGGGAGACCCCAGTGGAAATAAGGGGCCATAAAAGAAGGATGTACTTTTCTCTGAAGGGAGGAGAGAACTTCCATTTTGCTTATGGCCTTGTTTAAATACTGACAGAGTTTATGCACTCAAAAGGCTTCCATAGCCTTAGCAGTTCATGTCAAGAGCCTCAGGTGATCACTGACAGCATATATAAGAGTGTTAATTGTTAAATTAACAACAGGAGTCACTGTGTACCTACTTCCCATGCAGGACTTCCGCCCTCAATGAGTTGCATTATGAGAATTAACTGTAAAACATGTTCTCAAATAGTGTGTGTGTGTGTGTGTGTGTGTGCAAATTGTTGAAATTTTACTTAGTATAGAGTTGGTCTTCTGTGTACAAAGTTAATTGGAAATGAATCTTAATGGAGAAATGGGACTGGGAGTGAGAGAGGGAGGAGGAGGTGGGGTGGGAGTCTGGGTGGGAGGGTGGGTACGGTGGGAAGAACCTCTGTATTCCTAAAGTTGTACTTATGAAATTTGTGTTCATTAAATAAAAGGTTTATTTTGGGGGAAAAAAAGAAAGCAGACTCGAGGGTCTCAAAGAGATATTTGCCCACCATGTTCATAGCAGCACTAATCACAATATTCAAGAGGCAGAAGTAACCCCAACGTGCTCTGACAGCTGAATGGATAAACAAGATGCGGTGCACACACATGATGGACTATTAATCCACTTTCAAAAGGAAGGAAATTGTCACACATGACAACAGGGATGAAACAACCTCAGTTAAGCAAGCCGGTCACACAAACACACAAATCACATGGTGTTTCACTCACATGCAGTATCTGGAATGGTTGCCAGGGCCTTAGGGAAGGTACAACGTGCATGAGTTGAGTTTTCCTGTAACAGCTTCAGTGTCACAGGGTGAAAAGATTTTTGACAATGCTGTGCAACTGTGAATGTGCTGAATTTCCTGGGACTGAACTTACAATGGTTAAGACGTTATTCTTATATTCTATGTGTTTTACCACAATTTAAAAAGCCCTCAGCCTTCATACTTTCTTCCCTGAAACTTACATCATGTTCTATCCTCTAATTTATTTCTTTTTCTCTTCTCCCCTCCAAAATGTGGTCTCTTTTCTTATAATCCCCAACTGTCAAAAATGTTGAGTTTACCTGTGGGTGCACACACACACACACACACACAAGTCCCGCTTTGAAGACCAAAATCATGAATTCAGTCAAACCACCTGTCAGTTTAAGATAAAAGGACTGGACGTTTTCTGGCAGAATCTCCAGCCAGTATTACCCCAGTGCTAAAGAACTAGCATTCTGGAAATTTGGGAAACCCCCGTGCAACCACGTACAAAATCAGAAATCGTCACTAGGTTGCTCTGCTCAGTCATCTCTGAGCGGCCCATCTCTTAGCTGACAGACGAACACTTCCGGTTAAACACGTCAGGCCCTGAAGGGGCAGCTTTCAAACTCTGGTGTAATTTAAGAAGCTATAGGTACTTCTAAAAGGTTACAATTGCAGGTGTATGGGATGTTCTTCCTGTAATCTCAAACTGATGGGACAGCTGCCACAGGCTGCCATTTTGGCCTGGCCATGTCCCAGCCCCCCAGTCTCCTTTCTCTATGAAGCCTGACCAGCGGTGGGCCGCGTGGCATGAACTGGAGCTCCCCCACCGGACAGCTGCTGCAGGCCTCCTTACGGGAGTGCGTTCTCAACAGCTTCCTCCCAGCCCTGCCGTGCAGGGGCTGCTGGGGAGAGCAGCACTTCCCCTCGTCCCTCCCCCTCGCCTCTGCTGCTCGCAGCCTAGACGGTTCTTCCAGACACGGCTGCCTATGGAGCTGGCAGCAGTCAAGCTGGCCTTAGGGGAAGTGAGCTTAGCCCTGGGCCGTTGCTTCCCGCAGTGGAGAGAGTGCACCTGCTTCATCTCACCACAGTGCTGGGCAGAGCTGAGGGCTGCTGTGGGAGAAAGCCTCCTCCTGACCCGTCTCTTCACAGGTCCTGCTCTGCCCACCCCGGAGGCCTCCAGGGAAGCTGCAGTAACCAACCAGCAACCAGCCCCGGGGCTGTCAATTAGCGCCTGCACAGCGGCCAGATCTCCAAAGGGGTGGCTGAGACCCATTTTGCTGATGCTCCCAGGGTGATTTCTCCTCTGGGGGTGTCTGAGTACTCCCCAAGACATGGCTCCCAGATTCCGGATGCCGCCCAGAAACAGAGGTAGCGTCCCTACAGAGACCCACCCAGAAGGGAGAGGAATTCTCTGGAGACACGT